TAAATTAATTCCTTATTTGGCTTAGCAGCTGATGAACTTTCTGTCTGGAGCAACTCACGTTACTCTAGACCTTGGGTGCAGTTTCCTTGCATTGAGATTGTCAGCCGAGCCCTGGACCGAAGGGATGAAGTCATCCAAAGTCATTCCTCTTTTGCGTGATTCATTGTTTTTGGGTCAGTCACTGCACCTGCCTTGTGTTGTGTTCACATTCACACAGAATGTGTCACATTCTGCGTTGCCCAAAGAAGGAAGAGATCGTTGTTATCTGAAGAGCCCTTTCGTTTATGGAAAAATTTCTCTGGCTTTGAGACGGAAAAATACCATCTTCGACATTAATTATCCAGGGAGGTCAATATGAAAAGGAAAAACAAGAATTCCGTTTTTCTTTTTCCCAGAGGCGTGAAATCACCCCAAAATAACTTTTTACTGCAATAACGCTAAAAGCTTGGTTACACAACTGAATATCCTCAAATTATTACGTCTGCCATAATTCGGTCACATACAGGCAGTCCTTAACTTATGACCACAATTGTCCTTAACTTATGACCACAATTGTCTTTGACTTTTGACCACAATTGTCCTTGACTTATGACCACAATTGAGCCTAAAATTTCTTTTCATAAAGTGAGATGTTAAGTGAGATGTTATTCATCTCCTTGCCGGACGGACTTGTTAGCCTGCAGTGTGTGAGAGAGGAAGGATGCAGAGGGTTTGTTGTGTTTGGGGAGCTGGGTCAGAATATGTATTTAGGCAGAAAATGCAACTGTCTCACGTTCTGCGTGGTTTTGCGTCTTCCCGATGGAACATCCTCGTGGGTTTAGTAAGAGCTGGCGGTAGACAATGTTGTGTGGAATTTGGATAGGGACCTTTAGAAAACAGACAGCAGATGGAAAACCCAAACAGTAAGCCATGTTGTCGCTTTCCTTTTAGAAAGCACAACCTGTGAGTTTTGGAACAGATGCAGCGGTAACTGGCTGCGTGAGAAGGTGGAAGGCTGGCAAACGTTTTTGAGTTGGTAGCATTTTTCTCCCAGTTGCAAAGTTTACACCCCCAGGCCAACTCTGCCCCTTACACCTGCTAGGATCAATTGTGGTCCTAAGTTCAGGACTACCAGGGCTGGCGCAGTGGTTAGAATGCAGTATTGCAGGCTAACTCTGCCCATTGCCAGGAGTTCGATCCTGCTCAGGGTCGACTCAGCCTTCCATCCTTCCGAGGTCGGTAAAACGAGGACCCCGATTGTTGTGGGGGCAAGGTGCTGACTCTGTAAACCACTTAGAGAGGGCTGTAAAAAGCCCTGTGAAGCGCTACATAAGTGCTATTGCTACGTCTATGTCTCAGCAACACTCAAGAGTAGTCGTTTTACGTCCTGGTCTAAGGAAAGAGTTGTCTTATTCTCGTTTATTTGCCTAAAGGGAACAGCCTTTGCCTTATGATAGACAAATCATCTTTCTCTACAAGTCCTCTTCGGTAGCGTGACTACTTTCGATTATCCTTCTGTTCCTTTTCTTAGAGCAGAGGTCTGCAACTTAAACACTCAAAGAGCCATTTGGACACATTTCCCACAGAAAAGAAAACACCGGGAGCCACAAAACCCTTCCCGTGTCTGACTATTTCTTGAGCGGCCACAAAACTAGCATAGGTAGTTGAATTAAATGTTCTGTTTTCTTCTGAAACTTTTCTTTTCTTGGATTTATCCATGTTTAGCCTACTGGGGGTTGAAAAGCTCAATAAATCGCGTGCCAGTGGGTGTCGCACATTGGAGGTTGTGATGCATATTTTGAGTGACAGGGAGCTGCAGCAGAAGGGTGAAGGAGCCACATGTGGCTCCAGAGCCACAGATCGCTGATCCCTGTCTTAGAGGAAAATCACAATTTATAGTTCTAACACTCCTCAGGCAGGAGGATTGGGAGCCAGGGGTGTGTGTGCCTAAAGCAGGGGTTGGCAACCTTAAACACTCAAAGAGCCACAAAGGTCCTATCCAGAAGCCTCCCATTCAATTCTGGAGCCGACCACAAATCCGGTTCCCCCACCATAGAGTCTCCTCCTAGTGTGGTGTCCTTTTTCCTCTGCCAACCGGAACTCCGGTTCCCCCCACCATAGAGTCTCCTCCTAGTGTGGTGTCCTTTTTCCTCTGCCAACCGGAACTCCGGTTCCCCCCACCATAGAGTCTCCTCCTAGTGTGGTGTCCTTTTTCCTCTGCCAACCGGAACTCCGGTTCCCCCCACCATAGAGTCTCCTCCTAGTGTGGTGTCCTTTTTTCCTCTGCCAACCGGAACTCCGGTTCCCCCACGATAGAGTCTCCTCCTAGTGTGGTGTCCTTTTTCCTCTGCCAACCGGAACTCCGGTTCCCCCCACCATAGAGTCTCCTCCTAGTGTGGTGTCCTTTTTCCTCTGCCAACGGAACTCCGGTTCCCCACCATAGAGTCTCCTCCTAGTGTGGTGTCCTTTTTCCTCTGCCAACCGGAACTCCGGTTCCCCCCACCATAGAGTCTCCTCCTAGCGAGGCGTCCTTTTTCCTCTACCTCTCCTAACCGAAAGCCCTATCAATTGTGGAGCCGACCGGCGACAGGAGCCGCAGCAGAGGAATGAAAGAGCCACATGCGGCTCCAGAGCCGCGGGTTGCTGATCCCTGGCCTAAAGGGACAATCTTTCAAAGCCCTAAATTGCCTTTCTCCAGGGCACGCCGACTCCTTATATAACCCTTGCTCTCTTATGAATTAAGATATGAGTCATGCTTTTGCAGATGCTTCCTTTCGGACGGACTTTCCTCTGGAAATAAAATAATAATAATAATAAAAAAAAAACAGGTCCCACTTTGGGAAATTCAATCCCTTCCAAGGGCGCTACGAAAAACCATCCCAGATTAATTTAGGGTTATGTTTCCCGTCCTTCTCCCGTTTTTTTTAAAAAAAAAAATTGGGAAGAGTTTTAAACTCTAGCTTTATCCAAGAGTCCCTGTTTTGCAAATTTTGACGCCGGGTGGGGCGGCAAGGTTTCCCGAGCCAGCCAGAACTGACCGAGAAAATAAGGAGAGGATTGTATTCCGCCAGGCGACTTTTCAAAAGGGACTTTCTCATATTTGCTCCGTGGGGCTGTGAAATCTATTGGTATTGCCATGACTTCTCAGCTGCGGCTAGGCGGTCGGTGTTTAAATACAAGGCTATTATATTCTTTTATTGGCAGCCGCTTAAAAGGACTATTTGGGGACTGAATGTGCCCTTTCTGTTAAATATTTTTATTTTTTTAAAAAATATTAAAACAACTCAGTTGGCGGCATTGAGATCTATTTGGTGGCTAGCGACAAGTCAAAACTAGCTCTGAAAGGCGGGTTGATTGATCCAAGAAAGGGAGCCACATTTACAGGTAGTCCTCGACGTACGACAGTTCACTTAGTGACTGTTTGAAGTTATAATGGCACCGAAAAAAGTGATTTATGACCAGTGGTGGGATTCAAATAATGCCCTAATGACCGGCTGGGTGGGTGTGGCCATGGTGGGCGTGGCCATGGTGGGCGTGGCCAGGGGATGTGACAGGCAGCACTTCTGTGGCCTCCTGCACCCCCTGGGAGCAAAAACAGGCCGCGGGGGCTGGGTACTGCTCCCCTACACCCCTTTTTGGGCCTAGTAGGCCTCCTTGCAGCCTCCTGGGAGCAAAAATGGGCCATGGGGGGTGCGCTACACCCCCTGCACCCTGTTTTGGGCCTAGTAGGCCTCTCTGCAACCTCCTTGGAGCAAAAACGGGTCGCAGAAGGATTGCGCTGCCCCCCTGTGCCCCATTTTGGGCCTAAGAGGCCTCTCTGAAGCCTCCTGGGAGAGAAAACGAGCCGTGGGGAGGGCTTATCTCCCCCCGTGCCCCGTTTTGGGCCTAGTAGGCCTCTCTGCAGCCTTCCCCTGGAGTGGGGTAGGAATGGGGATTTTGCAGTATCCTTCCCGTGGAGTGGGGAGGGAATGGAGATTTTGCAGTATCCTTCCCCGTGGCCCACCAAGCCACGCCCACCAAGCCACGCCCACAGAAGCAGTAGTAAAAAAAATTGCATCCCACCACTGATGTGGTATATGTTGTTTTAATAACCGGGCCATACGTTTAATATGTAAATCAAGGTACTTATCTCTCACCCCCTTATATAAACAACAAACCTGAGTGAAGTCCAAGTCAAGGCAAACTTCAACTAAACGAACTTTTTGTAAGTCGTACAAAGACGTTATCTGTAAAATACGTGGCAATGGTTCAGACAAACAACTTGGCAATTTGTCAAATCATTTTTTTTTGCATTTTTCTGCGGGTTTTCTGTGCCGCAGCCTGGAGCCCCGGATGAAAATATTAACACAAATTGCTTGGGTCACACACGCACACAGATAAGAAATTGCTTCCTGGAAAAACGGAGAGATCCCTGCAGATGAAAGTGTTATTAAATATATATATATATGAATGTGCAGAGAAAGAAAAGAAAAGGAAGAAACAGAATATTTCTTAACATGGGCCTCGTTTTACCCAATGGTTAACTAATAGAAACAGAGGTTAGAAACTAAAAAGGTTAAAAGGATAATGAATCACTGGTATATACGGAATTTTTTTTTTTTAGTACGTATAAACTAATTGTATTATTACTATGTGATTATTATTGATACGTACACTGTGATTACCATAATTGATTATTGTTGTATTCTTACTCAAAACCAATTGTAGCCAGACAACACATGGCTCAGAGAGAGATATAGAGGTTTTTTTTTATGTACATTTATTTATTTTTATTTTTTATTTATTTTTATTTTTATATGCCGCCCATCTCCGGAGACTCAGGGCGGCTTACAATGCGTTAAGCAATAGCCTTTATACTTTTGTATATTTTATCCAAAGTCAGCTTATTGCCCCCACAAACCAGGTCCTCATTTTACCCACCTTAGAAAGGATGGAAGGCTGAGTCGACCTTAAGAAAAATGTACTAATAAAACATTTTTTTTTTAAAAAAAGAAAGAAATTGCTTCCACCATGATTCAGGCCGGGCTTATTCATTTCAGATGGCCAGAGGTAATAACAGTAAGAGAGTTGGAAGGCACCTTGGAGGTCATTTAGTCCAACCCCCTGCTAAACGCAGGAGTCCTGTACTAGGGATTCGAACCGCCGAACTGCCAAGCTTTCTGATCGACAAGCTGATTAGCCACTGAGCCACCTAGTGTGTGTCAGCTGGAGCACGTGCCACCTTGCCAAAGAAATATTGGAAGAAACTCCGTGGGTTTGGGAGGAGGTGAAGACGAGGAAGACTTTATATTCCGTTGAGTAATTATTATGTTTTATGGGCTCCGTTTCATTGCAGGTTACAATGGCAATGACTGCGGCGACTCCGACGTCTTTTCCTATGAGCAACCATACCCGGGAGCGAGTCACGGTGGCCAAGCTTACGCTGGAGAACTTTTATAGCAACCTCATCCTGCAGCATGAAGAAAGAGAAACCAGGTATACGAGGTCCCGTCCTCCTTTAACAGCAATTCTTTGATGAGGATTAGACGTTGTATGGGGACCTGCTGTTGGGGAGATCCTTAGCTTGGGAGAAGAACTGCCTGGTGGGAACCAAAATGGATCTGCGGGATCCTTGGTGCTCTCTGAGCTTGCTGGTTTTCTGACCCAACTTGGTAACATCATCAGTGCTAGAAGGGAGTGGGGTTTGCAGGGAGGAGGAGAAGAGGAGGAGGAGGAGGAGGAGGACTGCAGGGTCCTTGATGCTCTCTGAGGTTGGTAGTTTTCTTGCAGACGTTTCATGACCCATCTAGGTAACATCATCAGTGCTAGAAGGGAGTGGGGTTTGCAGAGGAGGAGGAAGAAGAGGAGGAGGAGGAGGAGGAGGAGGACTGCAGGGTCCTTGATGCTCTCTGAGGTTGGTAGTTTTCTTGCAGATGTTTCATGACCCAATTAGATAACATCATCAGTGCTAGAGAAGGGAGTGGGGTTTGCAGGGAGGAGGAAGAAGAGGAGGAGGAGGACTGCGGGGTCCTTGATGCTCTCTGAGCTTGGTAGTTGTCTTGTAGATATTTCATGACCCAACTAGGTAACATCATCAGTGCTAGAAGGGAGTGGGGTTTGCAGAGAGGAGGAGGAGGAGGAGGAGGAAGAGGAAGAAGACAAGGAGGACTGTTGGGGGGTCCTTGGTACTCTCTCTGAGAGTCGTAGTTTTCTTGCAGATGTTTCATGACCCAATTAGGTAACATCATCAGTGCTCCTGTGGGGTTAAATCGTTAAATGAAGAGGAATAGTGTGTAATGTTATAATGTTAATCCTTTTAGTCTTTACTTAACCAGAAGACCAAGGTAGGTTTTGTTCTCGGGCACTACCGTTGTTACTCTACAAACACACCTGTTGACCAAGCGTATCTTGCACCTTGTTTGCCAGCTGCAACCTTATCTGGGTTTGGCCACGATCGTCTAACCTTTGGCAAATCTTCCGTTTAGACTTTTACAGTGCAATTTGCATGAAGAGTTGGCTGGGGAATTCTGGCTGTTGAAGCTCCCCCGTCTTAAAGTTGACAAGTTGGGAAACTCCAGGACAGACAATGATGCCCGGTGTTCAGACGTCGCCCTAAGCCACGATATGACTTGCTTGGTTTCAATTGTTGAACTGGATGCAGCATTTTGCATTCCTTCAATCCATCATGGAGACGTGGACCATGACTTAATGCGATGCTTGAATTTTGTCTCTTTCCTTTTTCTTGATTTTGGATTATCATCCAGGAAGCTGAGGGAGAATTTTTTTATGCCCAGGTTGTCTATATAAATAAACCCCCTTTCCCCCCCCCACATCTCATGTACCAATAAAGAGATCAGGATGAGAATTTGGATAATGCAACAGGGGAAGAATTTTGGAACGAGAAAGTGGCAACCTCCATAATTATTAACTTGCCTGGTGTTGTGTAACTCAAACTTTGGACCCATGTTTCTGTGTTTGAGGTGTGAAATAACCCTCTTTTTCAATTCTAAAATAGAATAGAATATTCTATATTGACCAAGTGTAATTGGACTTGGTTTTCCCAGTTGCAATGGATGGCTGTGAAATTTGGACCACAAGGAAGGCTGAGCACCAAAGAATGGAGGCCTTTGAACTCTGGTGCAGGATGAAGACTCCTGCGAGTCCCTTGGACTGCAAGGCCATCCAACTGGTTGGTCCTAGAGGAGATCAACCCTGACTGCTCTTTAGAAGGCCAGATCCTGAAGAGGAAACTCAAATACTTTGGCCACCTAATGAGAAGGAAGGACTCCCTGGAGAAGAGCCTCATGCTGGGAACGATGGAGGAAGAAGAGGACAGCAGAGAACGAAGTGGCTGGATGGAGTCACTAAAGCCGTCGGCGTGAGCTTCAATGGACTCCAGAGGATGGTAGAGGACAGGAAGGCCTGGAGGAACGTGGTCCATGGGGGTCGCGATGGGTCGGACACAACTAACAACAACAAATTGGACACCCAAGGAATTTGGTGCAGGAGCTCTCCGTATCCATACAAGCAGCAAAGTCATAAATCATAATATACAATCATAAATCATAAGGTACAAGCAACAAAATGAGAGCCATAAGATACAAATAGGAGTAGGTAATAGGAAAGATGAGAAGGATAATAATAATAGAGTCATACTACATGGTTAGATGTCCTTAGGCGTAAGACAGCGCTGTGGGAATTGTATGTTTAGTTGAGTAATGGCACAGGGGAAAACCTGTCTTTGTGTCTAGTGGTTTTGGCATGCAAATTATAATAATAATAATGTCGGTTGTTTCATAATACGTGATTTGTACTTCCAACTTAGGCAGAAGAAACTTGAAGTAGCCATGGAGAAAGAAGGCTTAGCAGACGAAGAGGTAATTCAGGCACTCGTAAAGCTGAAAGTTTTTAATAGCATTGTTTGTTTAGGATTGTTACAACCCTTAGTGATTCAGAAAAACTTGCAGGACAAAATTTGTGTGTGTGTGTTTGTTTTAATAACATCGGCCCGAAAAAAGTCAACAGAAGGAAGCGGTAAATGGAGGAAAGGGCCAGCAAAGGGGGAAAAAAAAAATCAGAATATTTTCAAATATACACACATATGGTTGGTATTAATGGAACTGGAGTGTGAGAAATGCTTTGTAGGTAAATATGTAAAATAGTAGCAAGGGCTCCTGTGTTAGAACATTCGTGTCATGTTGACTTTAACATTTACAAGATAAGTAGCTTCCTCATACACACACACGTACACATTTAACAAGCGGTTCTCTGCCCTAATGACTGGCCGGGTGGGCGTGGCCATGGTGGGCGTGGCCAGGGGTGTGTGACAGGCAGCATTCGGCCTCCTGCACCCCCCCTGGGAGCAAAAATGGGTTGTGGAGGAGGGATGCACTGCCCCCCGCACACCATTTTGGGCCTAGGAGGCGTCCTTGCACTTACCTGGGAGCCAAAATGGGGTGCATGAGACCAGGGGTGGGTTCTACTTACTTTTACTACCAGTTCGCAGTGGGGCCGCATACGCAGAAGAGTTTTGTTGACGTCAGGGTTGGTGGGCGGAGCCTCCCACTGGTTTTACTACCAGTTCTGTAGAACCGGTGGGAACCGGGGGCAACCCACCACTGGTGGAGACTCCTGGAAGGGGCGGGGTGGAAAGGGTCGGGGCCAGACAGCAATTTAACTACCGGTTCGCCCAAACTGGCCTGAACCGGCGGAATGCCACCACTGCGATATACATATGATATACATATACATATTCCTCTATACACACAGATAATCCTTAATGTATGACCATTGGGACCAGCGAAGATAAGTCAAGCACTACCCCATATTTTTCAAATAAATTAAAATATTAAAACCTTAGCGGTCCTTCTGCCAGGAATACACAAGCTATATAAACAGCGACTATGATAGTCAAATTAAACTAAATTAACTTCTCCTTTGGTGCAATTAACAGCTAACCATTTGTGGAAGTTTAACCAACGCATTGCTTTCTATTGCAGCCATATATACCACAGAATGAATTACTGCTGCATTATATATCTATATCTATCTATCTATCTATCTATCTATCTATCTATCTATCTATCTATCTATCTATCTATCTAAAAATGTTTAATAATAAGAAAAACAAGAGTATATCTGTACTTCCTCCAAATTATATGCAGTTATTTTTTATTATTATTATTATTATTATTATTATTATTATTATTATTATTATTATTGAATTTGTATACCGCCCCCCTCCCGAAGGACTCAGGGCGGTGAACAGCCAAATAAAATACATATAATACAAATATTAAAAAAGCATTAAAATACAATTAAATAATTGGCCTGGAAAACGAAATTTAAAACACCCCAAATTCATCAGACAAATTTAAAATTGAAGAATTTTAAAATTTTAAAAAAGTTTAAAAGAGAGGTTAGGCCAGGCCGGCCTGCTGGAAAAGAAATGTTTTGATGGCATGCAGTGCTATCGTATTTCTTCCTAGATGACGACGTTAGGACTTGCTTGATCACGCCTGACATTATATTCGTTGTTTCCATCAATGTAAGATGAGGCTTGTTTTGTTCGGAGCCTGGGGACAAGGGATAGCTCTCTCTCTGGCCTGGAGCGCGTAAAAAAGTGGAAAAGCCTCGCGTTTAAATTAGTATATCATGCCATCTTGTGGTTTAGAAAAATGATTCTCAAAGTGTGGCCAGTCTTTTAAAGAGGACGTTTTGTTGCCCCCAGAAAAAGCTTCGGCGATCTCAACACGCCCGCAAAGAGACTGAATTTTTAAGGCTGAAGAGGACGAGGCTGGGCCTGGATGACTTTGAATCTCTGAAGGTGATCGGAAGAGGGGCCTTTGGCGAGGTTAGTGATCTTAAGTCTTAAGAATTGTTTCCCAGGACGTTTTCTTGATAGCTTTGCTGAACCGACGTCATGGAGTGGTTTGAAGGCCAGAACAGAAGGAATAACAGAATTACAGAGTTGGAAGGGATCTGAAGCAAATGTCAGATTAACAGATTAACAGAGTTGGAAGGGATCTTAATAGTAATTTCCTGTAGCCAATCTTTAATTTTTAGCCAATATTTTCGAGCCTCTGGACAGGACCACCACATATGGTAGTATGTTCCCTCTTTCTTTTTACATTTCCAACATAGGGGGCTCATTTTAGGGTACATTTGGTCCAGGGGTCTGCAACCTTAAACACTCAAAGAGCCATTTGGACCTGTTTCCCACAGAAAAGAAAACACCGGGAGCCACAAAACCTGGGTGGGCGTGGCCAACTCGATGTCATTCATTTCCACCAGTCACATGACACCCTAGCCACCCTTACCCAGCTGGTCATTAGGACAGAGAACCAGTTGTTAAAAAACACTGGGAGCCACAAAACCCTTTTGACATCTCTCCCTCCCTCCCTCCCTCCCTCCCTCCCCTTTCTCTCTCTCCCTCTCTCCCTCTCTCTGTATCTCTCTGATTCTGCCCTCACAACTTCTCCATCCCTCCGCCGTCACCCTTGCCTTCTCAGGCCAGGCGAGGAGTGACTGGGAGGGGAGGACGAGGGGTGGGGTGGGGCCAGCCAGTGGTGGGATCACCCGACAGGGAGCCACAGCAGAGGGCGCAAAGAGCCGCATGCGACTCTGGAGCTGCAGGTTGCTGACACCTCCCACAACTTCCGAAGGCAACTTCTGTTGCTCTCAGTATCAGAAAAATTCTCCTTATTTCTAGATTGAATCTCTCCTTGATCAGTTTCCATCCATTGTTCCTTGTCTGGCCTTCAGGTGCCTTGGAAAACAGGTTGAGCCCCCTCCTCTCTGTGGCAGCCCCTCAAATATTGGAAGACTGCTATTGTGTCTCCTTTGGTCCTACTTTTCATTAAACTAGAAAAGAAACATTCAGTCATATGACCCCCCTACCTAGCCACACCCACAGGAAAAGGCAGGAAATTTTCAGGAATTTCCACCTATCTACCCCCACTCCCTTTGCCAGTCACCCCCGTTTCCCCTCCTTTAGTGGCCCCGGCCCTAGCCCCGCTTCCTTCCCCGCTACCGTCTCTTTGTTCGGGCTGCTTACCTTTCACGGAAGCTGGTCCAGAGTCCAGAAGGCAAGATGACCAGAGTTTTCAGCAGGCCCCCCCAGCCAGCCACCACTGCTGGAAAGCGGCTGGCAAAGAAGCCCCCATTCGAGAGCTGCTTTGTGGCTGCGGCGGCTGGCCGCAAGCTGCTGAAAAGTACCGGAGGTCGCGGAAAAAGCTGCTGCTGTCCCATCGCCACCATGTTCTTCGCACATGCGCATCCCATTGGACTTGCAAGGCAATGGGATGCATGTGCGCGAAGAACATGGCGGTGACAAACATGGCGGGTGGGGCGAGTGAGTGGCTACCGTTAGGCAACCTCGGCCAAATTTCTGCCAATGGTTTGCGCAAAATGGTGCGAACCGGCTGAATGCCGCCTCTGGTGGTGACCAAAACTGGATGCAGTATTCTAGGTATGGTCTTACTAAGGCTTTATAGAGTGGTGTTAGTACCTCCCTTGATCTTGATTGAATCCCTCTGTTAATGCAATTTAGGATTGAATTGGCTTTGAGAACAACCGGATGTCATGTCTCAAATAAATTGCATTTCCAAACAAATAGTCTTTCATGAAATCTTTCATTTATTGCACAACAATCTGTCCCTGACTCCATCGTAGTCAGCACTGACCTTCTGACCCCCAAACCCTCCCTTTCCGTTCCCCAATTCTCTGCGTCTCATTGGCCATCTTCCAAGTCACTCTCCCCATATCTACTACTTCAGCTCACAGGAATGTCCCCCCTCCCATCCCATCTCCTAGGGGATAATATCTTCAGGGAAAATAAGTAGGTGAAGAGTCAAGCGTCCTCTTCTCTTCCTTATGTCAGCACTGGAGTGAATGTAGTTTGGAGTGCTGACACCGGAAAGGAAAACTCGTTTTGAATTTAGTGCTTTGAACTTGGAAGTCCACGATTCAAAGCTCCCCTTTTTATTAAATCCACAGGTCCGATTAGTTCAGAAAAAAGATACGGGTCATATTTACGCCATGAAGATATTGAGAAAAGCCGACATGCTGGAAAAAGAGCAAGTACGTCTTTGTTTTGTTTCCAAATATAACTTTAAAGCACATTCAAAGCTGTCTGTAAGCCATGTCATCTGAAGCTGGCATTTTCAATGGCTGGATCTTTCATTCCTTTGGGGAAGCTTTCAGTTTTCCTGTTTTTCAAAAGTTAAGGGTAAGAAAAGGAGTAGGACACCTTTAGGAGACAATTCAACCCCATTTCCTTCCTCGAAGTCCAGAAACGGGCAGTATAAATAGACCCAAACCAAACCAACTTCAGCACAAGCTCACATGCGAAATTTCCAGGGTTATCAAAAGAACTGGGGGTTTCCTTCATTTTCTTGGAACGCCTTCAAAGAAACCTATCCGTTTTGGGGGGGGGATAGAAAATTGTAACATCACTATATTCTCCTTCCTGACTTTTTCTGGCAGGAGGAAAAAAAATTGTTTAACTACCCTTTAAATCAGGGGTGAAATGCAACCGAACCGGTTGTAACAAATGTGACTGGTTCGCTGAACTGGTAGTAAAAATGCTTTAAAAAGTTAAAAAAAAAAAAAAAAAAAGTTCCGACAATCAGTTGTGACAATCAGCTCTGCCGCGCAATCCTCGGAATTTAAAAAAAAAAACTTTTTAAAGCATTTTTTACTACCTATTGGGGGAAGTCCGTTTTTGCTCCCAGGAGGCTTCCCTGAAGCCTGCTAGGACAAAAACGGAGGGTGGGGGGGTGTGCTGCGAAAGAAAGAAAGAAAGAAAGAAAGAAAGAAAGAAAGAAAGAAGAAAGAAAGAAAGGAAGGAAGGAAGGAAGGAAGGAAGGAAGGAAGGAAGAAAGGAAAGGAAAGGAAAGGAAAGGAAAGGAAGGAAGGAAGGAAGGAAGGAAGGAAGGAAGGAAGGAAGGAAGGAAGGAAGGAAGAAAGAAAGCAGAAAGAGGGAGGGTGGGAGGGAGGGAGGGAGGAAATAAAAGAAAGAAAAGAAAGAAAGAAAGGGAGGGAGGGAAGGAGGGAGGGAGGGAAGAAATAAAGGAAAGAAAGAAAGGGAAGAAAGAAAGAAAGAAACAAAGAGGGAGGAGGGAAGAAATAAAGAAAAGAAAAAAGAAAGAAAAAGAAAGGGAGGGAGGGAAGAAAGAAAGGAAAGAAAGAAAGGGAAGAAAAAGAAAGAAAGAAAAAGAAAGAGGGAGGAAGAAATAAAGAAGAAGAAAAGAAAGAAAGGGAAGAAAGAAAGAAAAAAAGAGGGATGGCAGAAATAAAAAAAAGAAAAAGAAAGGGAGGGATGGAGGGATGGAGGGAAGAAATAAAGGAAAGAAAGAGGGAGGGAGGGAAGAATAAAGAAAAGAAAGAAAGAAAGGAAGGAAGGAAGGAAGGAAGGAAGGAAGGAAGGAAGGAAGGAAGGAAGGAAGGTGGTTTTCTGGGAGATGATTCATTACCAAACTAGGGAACATCATCAGGGCTAGAACGGAGTGAGTGAGTGAGTGAGTGAGTGAGTGAGTGATTGAGTAGTAGTAGTAGTAGTAGTAGTAGTAGTAGTAGAATGATTGAGCTTGGTGGTTTTCTTGCAGATGGTGCATTGCCAAACTAGGGAACATCATCAGTGCTAGAAAGGAGGGAGGGAAAAGGAGAAGGAGGAGGAGGAGGAGAAGGAGGAGGAGGAGGATTGTGGGCATCCTTGGTGCTCTCTGAGCTTGGTGATTTTCTTGCAGATGGTTCATTACCAAACTAGGGAACATCATCAGTGCTATGGTAGAAAGGAGGGAGGAGGAGGAGCTGTGAGATCTCCTTCGCGTTCTCTGAGTTTAGTGATTTTGCAGATGTTTCATGACCCAACAAAGAGGAAGAGGAGGAAGATGACTGTGGGGTCCTTGGTACTCTCTGAGCTGGGTGGTTTCCTTGTAGACATTTCATGACCCAACTAGGGAACACCATCAGTGCTAGAAGGGAGCGGCGTTTGCACTTTTAATGAGATGTTTCCAAGAAAACAACCCAACTCAGAGGGCACCAAGGACCTCACAGTTTCAACCCTGAGCTAAAAATATTCACTTCTACCGGTAGAACCAGATATCTCCAGCTTTGGAGGGTAGGAGACAATCCGATGATTGTTGTTGTAGTCCAACCTATACTGAGTACCTTGTGAGTTAGGAAAGATTGCCTTACACCTAACAGCAATAAAAGTTTCATTGCATTGAAAACTGTTTATGTACAAACTTGTTTGGTAAGCAACCCATTTTTTAACTTCAACTTTGATTTGATTGGCCGTGTTCCTCTTGCAGGTGGCTCATATACGAGCAGAAAGGGACATCCTCGTTGAAGCCGATGGCGCCTGGGTCGTGAAAATGTTTTACAGTTTTCAGGACAAACGCAACCTTTACCTGATTATGGAGTTTCTTCCAGGAGGTAAAAAATTCCATGAAATTATTTCATTGACTAATTGAGAGCGGTGCGGTAGCCTAGAGGTGGAGCTCTTGCCTCACAATCAGAAGGCTGTGAGTTTGATCCTAGGTAGAGGCAGATATTTCTCTCTCTCTCTGAGCACAATGAGAATATATCCGCTGAATATATCGAAGGCACTTACCCTCTTCGAGATTAGCAAAAATGTACCCTAAAACGAGCCCCATATGTTGGAAATGTAAAAAGAAAGAGGGAACATACTACCATATGTGGTGGTCCTGTCCGGAGGCTCGAAAATATTGGCTAAAAATTAAAGATTGGCTACAGGAAATTATTAACGAACAATTAGACTTAGAACCGGAACTCTTCCTATTGGGGATCTTCAATATATATATATGTGTGTGAAGGGCACAAAATATCTAGTACTACACATATTAACCACTGCCAGGATTGCCTACGCTCAATGTTGGAAACAGCCATGCACACCCGCAGAGAAACTGGTCATACAAAAGGTCATGAATTGCGCAGAAATGGACAAATTAACGCTGAGTCTAAAAGATAAAGAGGCATCGATATTTTACAATGTGTGGGAACAGTGGTACAACTGGATAGAACGGAGATAGATTAAAGATAGATAGTTATTAAGTATAAGTAATAGATAAAATAAGAATGTAAATACGCACAATTTAATTTTTGTAAATAATGCACGAATTATCGTCACAAGAAAAACACCACAAATAGCTGTTGTTGAGTGAAATAATTTTTTATGTTTTTAATGTAATAAAAGCTTAATAAAGGGTATTGGGGGAAAAAAAGAGAATATATCCACTGAACAAAACTCCGCATTGGCGACAGGAAGGGCATTTGGCTATTTCTTGCTTTTTTGCAGCTCGACACCAGCTAAATACAGTCTTGTGTCTCCCTGATTCAGGTGATATGATGACTTTGCTCATGAAGAAGGATACGCTGTCCGAGGAGGAAACACAGTTTTATATCTCAGAAACCGTGCTCGCTATCGACGCCATTCACCAACTGGGGTTTATTCACAGAGATATCAAACCTGATAATCTTCTGCTAGACGCAAAGGTATCTAATGTTCAGACATGTCCATTCTTTTGTGTCCTTGTGTCTAGGATGGAATGTCTCAGCAACGTGAAGCTGGGTGGACTTCAACTCCCAGAATTCCCCAGAATTAAAATTCCGGAAGTGGATGTCCACTACTTCCGGAAGTTGAATTCTGGGAGTTGAAGTCCACACAGCTGAAGGTTGCTGAGATTCTTTTTTTTTTTTAATTTAAAAAACAAACTTTATTGAATTTAAAAATATTAACAAGAAAAAAAAGGGAAAATATACAGATTTTCTCACTCATAAAATTTACATTTTCCATCCACAGTTACACTAACATACTAAACACATATATACAAATATACAAACATGACTTATTTACCTATTCTATCTATCTGACGGTGCTTTTTTTTTTATTATTATTACTTGCATTTCCCCTAATTTTTATCTTTACCCTTTTTTTCCTTTGTTTTATCCACTTATACCATCTATTCCATACTATAAAATATTTTGAGTCTTCCTTGTCTTTTAGTTCAAGAGTTAATTTAGCCATTTGCTGAGATTCTTAAACACGATTCCGGCAGATATCTGTGGCACCCTCACCCCCGTGGCTGAAATGGTTGGGCTACGGTTGGCTTTGGCATCCCGCTTCCTTTTATGAATACAAAAAATCTCCTTGAAAATCGTTGAAATAATGAGCTGGCTTATTATTTCTATAAGAATCGAACAATTGTAATACTACATAATTAACTAATTTGAGGATAGATGTAAAAATAGAGGACAAGGGGTATAATATAGAAGAGAAGAGAAAAACTGAATTTGCTTAAGATTAGAGATGAGAATGAAGGGTAATATTGGTTGTTTAAAAAAAACAGATGAGAAATAAATATGGCAAAAAGGAAATATAGAAATGGTAAATTTAATTGAAAGGACTAAACACTGTTTACATTTGTGAATCGGCCAAATACTCTGTTAAAAAAAATACATTGTATGTTTGTATGTGTGTTTGTCTAAAAAATAAAAATAAAACTTTTTTTTTAAAAAAAGAAAACCATTGAAATAGATAGATAGATAGATAGATAGATAGATAGATAGATAATAGATAGATAGAGATAGATAGATAGATATAGAGATAGATAGATAGATACACACAGAGAGAGACATATAGACATAGAGAGAGAGAGAGAAAGACATATAGATATAGATAGAGAGAGAGAGAGAGACATATAGAGATAGGTAGGTAGGTAGGTAAGTAGATAGATAGATAGATAGATAGATAGATAGATAGATAGATAGATAGATAGATTATTACATTTTATACAGTTTTATCTTTTAATATTGTAAGCCACCCACAGTTACTGTGGCCAATACATTTTACAAATAAAAGAGTAATAAAAGTTTGCTTCAAATCCATTTGCGTGTCGATTTCGCAGACATGATGAACTTGCAATTTTGTGCTTGGCCTGCTTGATGGTGAGATGTAAATCAGGGAATATCTCCAGAAGTACATATTTACATCAGTCATCTGGATCAATCACATGAGTAATGTTTTCTTCCTGTAGGGCCATGTAAAACTCTCTGATTTTGGGCTATGCACAGGTTTAAAGAAAGCTCACCGAACTGAATTCTACCGAAACCTTACGCACAATCCACCGAGTGACTTCTGTAAGTACTGCAAATTCCAGTTTAACGATAAATATTGCGCGTGCTGTATTGATGGAAGAGAATATTTGGGGCTCGGGGTCGAACGGTGGGGTCCCGGGTGCTTTCTGAGCTTGGTGGTTTCCCTGAAGACGTTTCATGACCCAACTAGGGAACATCATCAGTACTAGAAGGGAGTGGGGTTTGTGGAGTGGAGGAGGAAGAGGAAGAAGTGGTATTGAAGGAGAGGAGGAGGAAGAGGAGGAGGAGGAGGAGGAGGAGGAGGAGGAGGAGGAGGAGGAGGATCAATGACTGTGAGTTCCTTAGTGCTCTTTTCTTAGCTGTTTTCTTCCAAGACATTTCATGACCCAGTTAGGTAACATCATCAGTGCTAGGAGGGAGTGGAGTTAGTGAAGTAGAAGAGGAGGAGGAGGAGAAGGAAGAGGTGATGTTGAAGGGGAGGAAGAAGAGGAGGTCACTGACTGTCGGGTCCTTAGTGTTCTCTGAGCTTGGCGATTTTCTTCCAAGACGTTTCATGACCCAACTAGGCAATGTCATCAGTGCTAGAAGGGAGTGGAGTTTGTGGAGTGGAGAAGGATTACATTGTAATTCTACGTCGATGACACATTTAGGGAGGGAAAGAAATGATTAAAATAGCTTTTTTTAACGGAAGCATGAGAAAAGGCCCTGTCGTTCAATTCCTGTCACCTTTCGTATCCTGCACTGCAACCCTAAGCAGGCGGAATTTTTATCATGCCGTTAAAGCGGAAAACATTCACCTCTCCTTCTTTTGTTTTCTTTCTCAGCCTTCCAGAACATGAACTCCAAAAGGAAAGCAGAAACGTGGAAGAAGAACAGGCGACAATTGGTGAGCATTTCCTCGTGGAGTTCGGCAAAGTCCTTCCACGTAAAAAAAATGTTTGGAGGAAGCCAGGTGGACTCCAAGGCCTCCTTGTAGCTCTTGGTTTTATTCTTGCAGACATTTCATGACCAAACTAGGTAACATCATTGGTGCTAGAAGAGTGGGGAGTTTGCTCAAAGATTTGAACTGTGGGGTCCTTTGGTTGTTTTCTTGCAGGCATTTCACGACCCAACTAGGTAACATTATCAGTGCTGGAAGGGAGGGGGGTGTGAGGAGTAGAGGAGAAGAGGAGGAGGCAAAAGGGGGGGGGGGGGGGTTGCGGGTGGTTGCGCACACCCGTGGCCACTCCCATAATTTAATGCGCCTCGTGCATGCGCGCACGACCTTCCGGGACTCCCCCCCCCCCCCTTTTGGCCCCTAATGGCACGGGGAGCCCGGTAGTTCTGTTTTTCGCCCTCCCCAGGCTCCAGGGCCTTTCTTGGAGCCTGGGGTGGGTGAAAACGGCCTTCCCCACCCCACCCTCAGAGGCCCTCTGGAGGCCGGAAACGGCCCATTTCCCGACTTCCGTTGGGCCCGGAAGGCTAGAAAATCAGTTGGCCGGTGCGTGCATATGCGCTGGAGCTGAGCTAGGGCAACGCTCGCGTGCCCACAGATATGACTCCATGTGCCGCCTGTGGCATGCGTGCCATTGGTTCGCCATCACGGCTATAGATGGAAGACTCTATGTTGCTTTCTTGGAAAGACATAAACCTGGTGTCAGCGTTTCAACGCTGGCATAGAGAGCAGCGAGAGAGAGAGAGAGAGATAAGCCCTGAACTTTTGCCTGATAAATCCCTTTGAAGTCGGGTTGTCGTGGAAATGAAGGGGGGAGACATTCCTGGGAAATGACGAGACAAGGAGTCTGAAGAATGACTTGGAAGATAGCCAATGAGAAGCAGAGATTTGGGGATTGGAAAGGGAGGGATTGGGGGGCAAAAGGTCAGTCTTGTCCGCATTGAGTCATGATAATTGGCTGTGCTCAATTAAAGAAAAAATTTCCTTAAAGATTGGCAGTTTGGAAATTTTATTTTATTTTGAGATAGCATCGAAGTCTGACACCTGGATTGGTTTCAAAAAGTGGCCTGAATCTCTCTCTCTCTCTCTCTCCCTTCGAAATATCTTTTTTCAGGCCTATTCTACTGTCGGGACTCCGGACTACATCGCACCGGAGGTTTTCATGCAAACCGGTTACAACAAACTCTGTGATTGGTGGTCTTTGGGAGTCATCATGTACGAAATGCTAATAGGTGAGAGCAGTGGAGGGATTCAGTCTGTTCGGGCCAGTTTGGGCGGACCGGTAGTTAAATTGCTGGCTGGCCCTGCTGCTTCCTGCTCCGCCCCTTCCAGGAGTCCCCACCCGCCCCATAAGTGCAGGGATGCCTCCTAGGCCCAAAATGGGGCACGGGGGTATGTGGCGCGTCCGCCACCACGCCCAGTTTTTGCTCCCAGGGGTGTGGAGGAGACCAAGTGCTGCCTCTCACATACCTTGGCCACGCCCACCATGGCCACGCCCACCCAGCCTGTCATTGGAGCAGAAAACCGGTTGTGAAATTATTTGAATCCCACCATTGGGTGAGAGGAACAAATGGGACTTGCAATTAAAAAGAGGTTGTCCTAGGCCAGGGGTGGGCAACTGTGGCCCTTTTACAACCTGTGGACTTCAACTCCCAGAATTCCTGAGCCAGCTGTCTCAGGAATTCTGGGAGTTGAAGTCCACAGGGTGTAAAAGGGCCACAGTTGCCCACCCCGCTCCTAGGCTAAGAAGGGAAGCACAGAGTTTGCACAAACTCACGTCCATTGCGTCGCTGACCCTGTCAAACCATCTCATCCTCTGTCCCCTCCTTCTCCTTTGGCCTTCCATCTTCCCCAGACCTCGGGGTCTTTTCTCGTCTTCTCCTTTGGTGGCCAAAGTCTTTGAGCTTCAGCGTCAGGGTCTGCCCTTCCAAAGGACAATCGGGGTTGATTTCCTTTAGGATCGCCTTCAATTTCAAAGGAATAGAATAGAAAGCAGAGTTGGAAGGGACCTCGGAGGTCTTCTAGTCCAATCCCCTGCTCAGGCTGGAAACCCTACTCCATTTCAGACAAATGGCTGTCCAGTCTCTTCTTAAATGCCTCCGGTGATGGAGCAGCCAAAACTTCTGGAGGCAAGCAGTTCCACTGGTTAATTGTTCTCACTGTCAGAAAATTCCTCCTTAATTCCAGGTTGCTTCTCTCCTTGATGAGTTTCCATCTATTGCTTTTTGTCATGTCCTTAAGTGCTTTGGAGAATAGCTTGATTCCCTCTTTTTTTTTGTGGCAACTTTGGAGCTATCGGGGAGATTGGTTTTTTTGGGGGGGGGGGAAACCATGGAGAATTGATACGACGCTGTCTTATCATGTTTATTCCAGGTACTTCAATATTGTTCATCTAGTTCCATGCTCTCATTGTCTACCATTCTCACAGGATATCCCCCTTTTTGTTCGGAAACACCCCAAGAAACGTATAGAAAAATTATGAACTGGAAAGAAACGTTGGTATTTCCACCGGAAGTGCCCATTTCCGAAAAAGCAAAGGACCTCATTTTAAAGTAAGTAGATGAAGTGCTTCGTTTACGTGGGTAGGAAAACCCATTAATGAACGATTTTGTTTAGCCTGCTATTGATAATCTAGTTTGCTTTGTCATTATCCTGAAGAAGTGTTGTGGCCCACCAGAGGCCAGCAACAGATTCGGACAGTGAGGAGGCTGGGGAGGAACGTGGGCCAGTCCTGGAGTCTGGGGAAGGCTCGAACGAGGGCTCTGCGTCAGAGGCAGAGAGATGGCCAGGGCCATCTGGTAGTTCTTTGCTGTCTCCGGAGTCTCACATCAGCGAGGCAGAAGAACAGCGTGAGCCTGTTCCCAGTGTGCACATGCGCAGAGCTGCCAGGAGACAGGAACAATTAAGGAAAGAGGGCCGACTTGGGAGTAAGGCTTGGAGATGATTGGCCCCTCCCATAAGCCAGAAAAGAGAAGCGAACAGGACGGGAGCTTTTGCAAGAAGCAATTAGTTCATCTGGTCGGTAAAAGCTTTGGAAAAGCTCTGGTTTGACTCTGTGCTCAGTTTGGCCTTGCTCTGCGTGTGGCAATTAGTTCTCTGGCAGCATTCCAAGGGAGATAAGGTGGGTGTTTATAAAATTCCCCTGAAAGACTGTTTGAGAAGCTTTTCGGACTGGGAATGACAGTAATTCACAGCCGTATGAATTAAAAGAGGTTTGCTGGGACTAAGATTGTGCTGTTTACTTTCTAAGGAAGCCTAAGTCAGAACAAGAAGATGCTGCCGGGGTCGTAACTGTGAAAAACGATCCTAAGCCACATTTTTCAGTGCCATTGTAATTTTGAACAGTTACTAAATGAATCGTAAGTCGAGGACTACCTGTAATAACTTGCCTTTCCTTTTTTTTTTTAATCTTCCCTCTCTTCCAGATTTTGCACTGATGCTGAAAACAGAGTCGGCAGCAACGGAATAGAAGAAATTAAGAGCCACGCATTTTTCGAAGGGGTGGATTGGGCCCACATCAGGTAGGTTTAGCAAAATCTGAAAAATGGAAGAATTCAAGAAAAAATTAGGGATAGACAGGCCTTTACATCCCAGGCAAGGAGCCACCTGTTGAACTTCTCGGCGTCTCCTTAAAGAAGCTGCATATTTCCTGGGTTTGCTTAGTAGCAATAGCAACAGCACGTAGACTTATATACCGCTTCATGATGCTTTCACAGCCCTCTCTAAGCGGTTTACACAGTTAGCATTTTGCTCCCTCCGCCAACAATCTGGGTCCTCATTTTATCGACCTTGGAAGGACGGAAGGCTGAGTCAACCTTGAGTTGGTCAGGATCGAACTGCTAACAATCGGCAGAGTTAGCTTGCAATACTGCATTCTAACCACTGCGCCATCCCAGATAAGATGACACATAGATAGCAATAGCAATAGCGCTTAGACTTATATACCGCTTCACAGGGCTTCACAGCCCTCTCTAAACGATTTACAGAGTCAGCCTGTTGCCCCCCAACAATCTGGGTCCTCATTTTACAAACCTCAGAAGGATGGAAGGATGATTCAACCTTGAGCCGGTCAGGATTGAACTCCTGGCAGTGGGCAGAGTTAGCTTGCAATTCTGCATTCTAACCACAGTTCCATCAGGAAGGAGAATGAGAAAGGGAATAAAAGAAGGAAGGAAGGAAGGAAGGAAGGAAGGAAGGAAGGAAGGAAGGAAGGAAGGAAGGAAGGAAGCAAGCAAGGAAGGAAGGAAGGAAGGAAGGAAGGAAGGAAGGAAGCAAGGAAGGAAGGAAGGAAGGAAGGAAGGAAGGAAGGAAGGAAGGAAGGAAGGAGGAATAGCAAGAGCACAAAGGTTTATATACTGCTTTAAAGTGCTTTCCATCTTTCTATAAGTGGCTTAGAGAGTCATCATATTGCCCCCAACAATCTGGGTCCTCATTTTACCGACCTCGGAAGGATGGAAGGCTGAGTCAACTTGAGCCAGTCAGGATCGAATTCCTGGCAGTGGGCAGAGTTAGCTTGCAATTCTGCATTCTAACCACAGTTCCATCAGGAAGGAGAATGAGAAAGGGAATAAAAGAAGGAAGGAAGGAAGGAAGGAAGGAAGGAAGGAAGGAAGGAAGGAAGGAAGGAAGGAAGGAAGGAAGGGCATATATACTGTTTCACAATGCTTTCAGCCCTCTCTGAGCGGTTTACAGAGTCAACCTTTTACCGATCTGAGTCAAGCTTGAGCCGGTCAGGATCGAACTGCTGGCAGCAGGCAGTGAGTTCGCCTGCAATTCTGCAGTCTAACCACTGCGCCACCTCGGTAGTCCTATAGCTCCCTCAAAATACACACAAAATGTGTTAAGGAGACACCACCAGGATGCAACAAGCTACTTCTGAACAGGCCTGGGCATTTTGTAAACATCTTGAGTCAACGTGTCCAGGTAGTCCTCGACTTACGACCACAACTGAGCCCAGAATTTCCATTGCTAAGTGAGACTTTTGTTAAGTGAGTTTCCTCCCCATTTTATGACTTTTCTTGCCATGGTTGTTAAGTGGATCCTTGCACGGTTGTTAAGTGAGTAACACAGTCGTTCAAACTCTGGCTTCCCATGTTGATTTTGTGTGTCAGTCGGTCGCAAAAGGGGATCACGTGACTCCAGAGACACTGTGACCATTGTAAATACGAGTGTCCCAGTTTTGATCCTTTGATCCCCAGTGGGGATGCTGCAGTGGTCATAATGATGAAAAAGGGTCATAAGTCTAGGTCGACATGTGCTCCCCTGGATCTACCTGGAAACGACTCCAAATGAATTCCGGGCGGAAGTAACAGATATATTTGTGTTTGCGTTACGAGGTGATGGGTTTTATTTTAAAACTTTTGAAGCAAGATTCAGTTGTCCTGAAATCAACGTTGCTTGTAGGTTTGAATGACTACTTTAGCTTCTGCTCCAATAACACGAGGGCTACCAATAGATACAAACTCCATGTAATTCGCTCCAATCTTGATTGCAGAAAATACGACTTCATGTTCTGCCCCAGCTACAGATCCCAAAGAACGCAGCACACACAAACTCTAAACAAAACTTAGTTTACTCAAATAACGCAGTTTTTTTTGCAAATGCAGGCTGTTAATAAACATTCTTAACAGCCTGCCAGAATTCCACAGATGAGATAATCAGAGTCTTACTAGAGTTGGCAGAAAGCCCAGAAACCAGGTTGCAGAGAAATCCAAATTCGAAAAATAGCGAACTCAAGTTGTTTCCTGCAGCTTGTTGCAATCGGTGTTCTTTCTTAAATAGGCTAAGGGAGTGGCCAATTAGCCCCAAGCCTTACTCTCAAGGAGACCTCCTCCTGAGGAGCCACTCCTGCCTTTTGGCAGCTCTGCGTGCCCGTGCATTGAGAAGAGGCTCCTCCTCTTCATCCTCTTCACTTATGGGAGCTTCTGGAGGTTCTGAAGGCCCTGGCTGAATCCCCGCCTCTGGCACCCCATCTTCTCCAGCCTCCTCACTGTCCGACTCGAGTGCCGGCTGCACAGGCTGCTGGCGCAGCACCACACCAGCCTCCTCGTCGTCAGGATCAGCAACAATCCGTGCAGGCCGCTGGCGGGCCACAACACTTCAGCAATAGAGTAGTAAATGTCTGGAACACTCTACCTGATCCTATTGTTAGTCTCTCTAACCCCCATACCTTTTACCTTAAACTGTCTACCGTGGACCTTACACATTTCTTAAGAGGTCCGTAAAGGGGGCGTGCATAAGCGCACCAGCGTGCCTTCCATCCCTGTTCTACTGTCCCCATTTTAAGTAATCATTCTTTGTTTATATCTATGTTTTGCTTATTTATACCCATTTGTTTGTGCCAATTTTCATGCGTCTATACTGATACTTGTTCCTTGTACTTGTTGACAAACAAACAAATAATAAATAAATAAATAAAATTCTGTGACTTTTGCATTTCGTTTTAGAGAAAGGCCAGCGGCGATCACTATAGAAATCAAAAGTATAGACGACACCTCCAATTTCGACGAGTTCCCTGAATCTGATATTTTACAACCAGGTGAGCGTGATACTCATGGATGCAACAATATCTTATTGTTGAGAGGAGAGGGGGGGGAGAGGAGAGAGAGAGAGAGAGGAGAGAGGGAAGAGAAAAAAACCACAGGGAAGAATGAAAGAGAAAAGAAGAGGGGAGGGAAAGGGAAGGGAGAGAGAAAAGTATGAAGGAAGGAAAGAAGAGGGGAAGGGATGAGAAGGGAGAAAGGAGAGAGAAAAGAATAAAAGATAAAAGAAAAGGGGAGGGGAGAAAAGAGAGAAAAGAACAAAAAAGTGAAAAAAGAAGGGAGGAGAAGGGAGAGTGGAGAGAGAAAACAAAAAAGAAGAATGAAAGAGAAAAGAGGGGAGGAGAAGGGAGGGAAAGGGATAAAAGGGGAGGGGAGGGGAGGAAGAGAGGAAAGAGGAGAGAGAAAAGAATGAAAGAGGAAAGAAGAGGAGAGGGAATGCGAGGGGAGGGGAAGGGAGAAAGAGAGAAAAGAATAAAAGAATAAAAGATAAAGGAAAAGGAAAGGAGGGGAGGGAGAAAAGAAAAGGGAAATGAACAAAAAAATGAAAGAAAAGGGGAGGAGAGGAGAAGGGGAGGGGATGAGAAGAGAAAGGAAAGAGAAAAGAATAAAAGAATAAAGGTAAAAGAAAAGGGGAGGGGAGGGGAGAAAAGAGAGAAAAGAATGAAAAAAGGGAGGAGAAGGGAGAGTGGAGAGAGAAAACAAAAAAGAAGAATGAAAGAGAAAAGAGGGGAGGAGAAGGGAGGGAAAGGGATAAAAGGGGAGGGGAGGGAAGGAAGAGAGGAAAGAGGAGAGAAAAGAATGAAAGAGGAAAGAAGAGGAGAGGGGATGCGAGGGGAGGGGAAGGGAGAAAGGAGAGAGAAAAGAATAAAAGAATAAAGGATAAAGGAAAAGGAAAGGAGGGGAGGGGAGAAAGAAAAGGGAAATGAACAAAAAATGAAAGAAAAGGGGAGGAGAGGAGAAGGGGAGGGGATGAGAAGAGAAAGGAAAGAGAAAAGAATAAAAGAATAAAGGTAAAAGAAAAAGGGAGGGGAGGGAGAAAAGAGAGAAAAGAATGAAAAAAGAAGGGAGGAGAGGGAGAGTGGAGAGAGAAAACAAAAAAGAAGAATGAAAGAGAAAAAGGGGGAGGAAAGGGAGGGAAAGGGATAAAAGGGGAGGGGAGGGAAGGAAGAGAGGAAAGAGGAGAGAAAAGAATGAAAGAGGAAAGAAGAGGAGAGGGGATGCGAGGGGAGGGGAAGGGAGAAAGGAGAGAGAAAAGAATAAAAGAATAAAGGATAAAGGAAAAGGAAAGGAGGGGAGGGGAAAGAAAGAAAAGAAATGAAACAAAAAATGAAAAGAAAAGAAGAAGAGGGGAGGAAAGGGAGGGAGAGAGAAAAGAAGAAAGAGGAAAGAAGAGGAGAGGGGATTCGAGGGGAGGGGAAGGGAGAAAGGAGAGAGAAAAGAATAAAAGAATAAAAGATAAAGGAAAAGGAAAGGAGGGGAGGGGAGAAAGAAAAGGGAAATGAACAAAAAAATGAAAGAAAAGGGGAGGAGAAGGGAGGGAAAGGGATAAGAGGAGGGGATGGGAACGAAGAGAGGAAAGGAGAGAGAAAAGAATGAAAGGAAAGAAGAGGAGAGGGGATGCGAGGGGATGAGAAGGGGAGGAAGAAAAGAGAGAAAGAAGAGGGGAGGGAAAGGGAAGGGAGAGAAAAGTATGAAGGAGGAAAAAAGAGGGGAGGGATGAGAAGAGAAAGGAAAGAGAAAAGAATAAAAGATAAAAGAAAAGGGAGGGGAGGGGAGAAAAGAGAGAAAAGAATGAAAAAAGAAGGGAGGAGAAGGGAGAGTGGAGAAAGAAAACAAAAAAGAAGAATGAAAGAGAAAAGAGGGGAGGAGAAGGGAGGGAAAGGGATAAAAGGGGAGGGGAGGGAAGGAAGAGAGGAAAGAGGAGAGAGAAAAGAATGAAAGAGGAAAGAAGAGGAGAGGGGATGCGAGGGGAGGGGAAGGGAGAAAGGAGAGAGAAAAGAATAAAAGAATAAAAGATAAAGGAAAAGGAAAGGAGGGGAGGGGAGGGGAGAAAGAAAAGGGAAATGAACAAAAAAGAATGAAAGAGAAAAGAGGGGAGGAAAGGGAAGGGAGAGAGAAAAGAATGAAAGAGGAAAGAAGAGGAGAGGGGATTCGAGGGGAGGGGAAGGGAGAAAGGAGAGAGAAAAGAATAAAAGATAAAGGAAAAGGAAAGGGGAGGGGAGGGGAGAAAGAAAAGGGAAATGAACAAAAAAAGAATGAAAGAGAAAAGAGGGGAGGAGAAGGGAGGGAAAGGGATAAGAGGGGAGGGGAGGGGAAGGAAGAGAGGAAAGAGGAGAGAGAAAAGAATGAAAGAGGAAAGAAGAGGAGAGGGATGCGAGGGGAGGGGAAGGGAGAAAGAGAAAAGAATAAAAGATAAAGGAAAAGGAAAGGAGGAAGGGGAGGAGAGAAAGAAAATGGAAATGAACAAAAAAGAATGAAAGAGAAAAGAAGAGGGAAAGGGAAGGGAGGGGAAGGGATAAGAGTGAAGGGGAGGGGAGAGGAAACAGAGGAGAGAGAAAAGATTGAAAAAGAAGAGGGAGGGGAGGAGCGGAGAGGAGAGGAGAAAAGAGAGGAGAGAGAAGGGAGGATATAACAATAATAAGAATAAATAACAAATTTTCCATCCCTTGCAGCTTGGGCAATACATTGCTTTTTTTTCTCATTTGTGCATGCAACCGTCTTCAAATCATAGCATTTGGAGTTGAACCCCTTGAAGGAGTTCTCATTCAACAAGCATTGGCATATTTAAGAGGACTCGTAACCGTACTGTAGATAGAGGTCTACCCCAAGCATTTCAGATCACATCTTAGTCGGTTGTTAGTTACACCTACTCCAGGGTGGGTTCTGTACTACTTTTTACTACCGGTTCGCAATGGGTTACCTAGTTGGGGTCACAAACATCTGCAGTACAGACAACCAAGCAAGCCAGAGAGAACCCCAAGGTTTAATAACAAATATGTAGTTTGAGGACTCCCCCCTTCCTACTTCACTTCCACTTCACACGACCTGTCACGGATACCTCACACACCCCTCAGTTGTCCTCACAATCGCAATCATTTTTTTTGCGTTCTGTGCCGAATACCCCGATACCCCGAACGGATTTCAAGTCCACCAAAGATTGGGTTTTCCTGAATTACACCTACAAGAGATTCGAAGGGCTGACTCAAAGGGGCTCCATCCCTTCGTACATGAAGGCCGGGAAGTTGTGAGAGACGCAGGGGCCAGGAAGCGTAAGAACTCAGGTACCCCGCCCATCTCCGCTCGATCTCCACCCTCTTCCGACGTTCCCGCAGACCGGCGCCCGCGGACTCGGGGCTCCCCCCACCTCCTCCTCCCCCAAAAATTAAGGAATTCTACCGGATTAGAATTTTCTGAGACTACTACGGACAATTAGTTGGCAGTGCCAGCTGGCGGCTTCTATCAATAGTGAATTATTTTTGTTAAACTTTATTACAACAGAGGTACTGAAAATTGAAAGAAAAAAAAAAGAGAGTGAGAGGGAGAGAGAAAAAGAAGAAGAAGCAGCAACCGACATTTCCTCTTTGTATCTGCACTGCCGAAATGTACGTTATAATGAATCAATTCGGGGTCACTTGGTTTATGGTTGGAACTACGTGTCGGGCCGCTCAGGTGTTCAAAAGGTGGTGTCTGTGTTAAGAGGCAACCTTGTCCTCAAAGATAAAAGGTATTTTACCTGGGCAGGTTTTTAAGGTAGAAAGGACAGGTAATCCTCGACTTACAACGGTTTGTTTCGAAGCTGCGATGGCGCTGAAAAAAGTGACTTACGGCCAGGAGTGGGATTCAAAAATTTTAGCAACCGGTTCTCTGCCTAGTTGCTGGGTGGGCGTGGCCATAATGGGCGTGGCCTACCCGGCCTCCTGCATCATGGGAAGGGGGCGTATTCGTCCTCCCCAAGTTCTGGAGGCTTTTCTCGAGCCTCTGGGAGGGCGAAAACAACCTCCCTGGGGCTCCGGAGGACCTCCCACTTCTGGGAGGCCCGTTTTTCGCCCTCCCAGAGCCTCCGCGCACCTGTCATCCAAAACGGGCCACATGGAGACTCCTGGGAGGGACGAGGTGGGGTGGACAGGGCCAGCCAATCCTTGCAACTGCCAGTTTGGTGAACCGGATGTAAAATTAGCATCTGATTCACCTGAACCGGCTGAATCCCATCCCTGCTTACGGCCTTTTTTCCCCACACTTATGTCCGTTCCAGCCGCCCCGGGATCAAAATTCAGCCGTTTGCCAACTGACTCATATTTGTGACGGACACAGCGTTCATGTGATCCCCTCTTGCGACCTTCCAAACCAGCAAAGTCAACGGGGAAAGCTGGATTCACTTAACAACCGTGTGACTGGCTTAACGCCTGCGGCGATTCGCTTAACAACCGTGGCTAGAAAGGTCGCAAAAGGGTTGACAAGTGAACCAAAGTCACAGAAGTTTTGGGCCCCCGTTTGCAGTCGTAAGTCGAGGACTACCTGTATGAAAAACGCAAAGACCGGGGGGGGGGGGGGAAAGCCACGTGCGATAACGCGGTTCCTTACGGAGGAAGGACGGTGAACGTTAGAAGCCGGGGTAAAGTTATTTAAACTAGCTATTTTTTAAATAGGGTTTTTTTGCCACGCTCGCTGGCTTTCTCTCTAGCTCAGGGCTCCTTAGTCTTAACACTAAAGAGAAGTGACTCCTTCAGATTGTAATTCATAGTCAAACTGGTTTGGAACTGGATTCAACCCTAAGGTGCGCCTTTAGCTGTTTTCACGCCACTTTTATCAAATAAAAGCGAGTGGCAGCTTTCATCTCAAATCGCCGGTAAAACATGTTAAGGCGGGGAAAAAAATAAATTAATTAATAATACATCCGGCATCAATTCAGCCGTCAGCTCATCTTTTTTTTTTTTTTTGCTTCTTTCACCTCCTTCTGAATTTAACATCGCTACGATGCTCCGTGCCATTTTGTTCTCCTCTCGAGTACCAAAGATCCTGAAATTGCTTGACCGATTTCCGTTTTGTTTTTCTTTTCTTTTTCCTGAATGATAAAGGAGAAAGAAAAAAACTTTTTCTTTTTAAAACGAGGGGTACTTAAAAAACAAAACAAAAAAAAGATAAAACCGTTTCTTTCCATTTTTATTTTTTGAACTTGTCGAGTTCCCTTGAATTAAAATGCTGCCCATTGCTGGGTTTATTTTTCTACGGGGGAGTTTGAGTTAAAGAGGATAACAGAATAAAAGAGGGACCTTGGAGGTCTTCTAGTCCAACCCCCTGCTCAAGCAGGAGATCGTATATCATTTCAGACAGGTAGCTGGCCAGTGTCTTCTTAAAAGCCTCCAGTAATGAAGCCCCAACACCTTCTGGTGGCAAGCTGTTCCACTGGTTAATTTTCCTTGACTGTCAGGAAGTTTCTCCTTAAATTCCAGGTTGCTTCTCTCCTTGATTAGTTTGCTGGGATTATTTGGGGGGGGATTTACAGGATGAGGCTTTGCAACATTAGTGTGGGGGGGGGGGCATCTACAGAAGTTTCCTGCAAGCCCCACCCCTTCTCGTCACGTTGAGTGACATCATGACACATAGAGAAATGGGGCGGGGCTTACAGGAGGGTATTAATTTTGTTATTTTGTTCCCCTGCAGACACTACTGGCCCAAAGCTCATTATAAGGTGTCCAAGTCTAACGACGAGTTTTATATTTACATTTTTGATTGCAGGTTTTGCTTTCCTCTTTTTTTTTTTTTTAACCACGTATCCAGCAAATCCTGGGGCATTAAATCGTTTCGTCGAGATTATTCTCATTTTCTTTCGAGCATTTCAAGCAGGTTGTTATCTGATTTGCTTTGAGGTCGATTTCATTTCAAACGGTTTGGGATTTGAATGGCCACTGTACCTTTCCTTTAAAAAAAAGAAAAAAAAGAATAAAATCAAATAAATTCCGTAGTTGTGGTTTGCAAAAAAAAAAAAGTTACAATAGAAGGCATTATAAATATTTATATAAGGCTTTTTACAGCATATTAAATAAAGATGGCACTTTTTTAAAATATAAATCGGTCTTTTTTGTCCAATATGTTAAAGCATGAAAAGTCTTAATAAAGAGAATATTTGTAGCTCAGGGTTGATAAAAGTGGGTGGGTTTCAAATTTTTTTACTACCGGTTCTGTGGGCGTGGCTTGGTGGGCGTGGCATTGCTTGGTGGGCGTGGGAGGGGAAGGATACTGCAAAATCCCCATTCCCACCCCACTCCAGGGGAAGGTTACTGCAAAATCCCCATTTCCTCCTGATCAGCTGGGACTCGGGAGGCAGAAAATAGATGGAGGCGGGGCCAGTCAGAATTTTTACTACCGGTTCTCCAAACTACTCAAACTTTCCGCTACTGGTTCTCCAGAACTGGTCAGAACCTGCTGAAACCCACCTCTGATACGAGGCGTCCTAAATGCTCTCAAGTTGGTTGTTTTCTTGCAGACTATTTCCCCTTTCCAAAGAGACAACAATAAACAGCCCAGGAATCTCTAAGACCTCAAGACAGGCAAGCCACCAGAATATAAAACTGGCAGGAAACCCCACTCCTTTCTAGCACTGATGATGTTACCTAGTTGGGTCATGAAACGTCTGCCAGAAAGCAATCAAGCTCAGAGAGTACCAAGGACCCCCCACAGTCCTCCTTGTCCTCCTCCTCCTCCTCCTCCTCCTCCTCCTCTGCAAATCCAACTCCCTTCTAACACTGATGATGTTAGCTAGTTGGGTCATTAAACGTCTGCAAGAAAACACCCAAGCTCAGAGAGTACTAAGAACACCTCATTATAAGTCTTCTTTTGTATCTCTCTTCTAGGTTCTTCAAACCTTGTACTCTTTAAAAAAAAAAAAAAACAGCAGCAGATTGACATGTTAAGCTTTAATATTTCTCAACCTTAGCAACTTTTAAGGGGTGTGGACTTCAACTCCCAGAATTCTCCAGCCACCAAAGCAATTAGGTGAATCTGGCCCAGCCTTAGACCGTGGGAAAAAAAAAAACCACCTGTCTGGTTTATATCCATTCATTTAAAGAAACGGCTCTGGAAGAGAGAGAGAAAAAAAAACAGAGACAGAGTGGTTAGGATATTAAATCACAGACTCAAGAACAATCAAATGCTTAAAAATCACACTCAAAGATTCCTCTTTGAATATTCTTTACAATCACCATGTAGGAACACGACGCAAGAGCCTTGGTGGTGCAGCGGACTGAGTGCTGTTTATTTATTTATTTATTTATTTTATTAAATTTCTATACCGCCCTTCTCCCGAAGGACTCAGGGCGGTGAACAGCCAAAAGATAAAACACGGAGATACAAAATTTAAAATAGATTAAAACAGATTAAACAATTTGGCTAAATTTTAAAAATATCCCATAATTAAACAAACTAAAATTAGTGTTTAAAATTTAAATTTAAAAATTTTAAAAGGGAGAAGATTTAGGCCATGTAGGCCATGCCTGTTATGTAGCACTTAGTTGCCAGCTGCCTGCAATTAGTGCGAGTTCAAATCTCACCAGGCTCAAGGTTGACTCAGCCTTCCATCCTTCCGAGGTAGGTAAATTGAGGACCCGGATTGTGGGGGCGATAAGATGACTTTGTAGAAACACCGCTTATGGGGGGGGGCAAAAACCCTAATAAGCAGGTATATACAAAAAGAATGAAGGCTATTGCTATAAGTGCATTGTAAGCTGCCCTGAGTCTTCGGAGGAGGGCGGCATATATCTTGAACTAATAAATGAATGAATGAATGAATGAATGAATAAATAAATAAATAAATAAATAAATAAATAAATAAAAAATAACTTCCCAAAGTATTTAATGCAAAATATTTAAAAGAATTCTCATCTCCCAAAAGTCAAAAAGAAATCAGCAGGATGTTTTATACAAGTTAGGGGATAAAATGCTGATTACCAGAACCTTTAGATAGATGCACAAAGGGAGAAATTATATCCAGGTTCAGCAATTTAAAAACTACTCTCGGCAAGCCTAGGCTAGTTCTGTAGGTGTTTTATTACCAAACCTGTTTTTCCCCCCCTCTTCTCGCTGGCCAAGATTCATTTATTTCAATAAAAGAGGAGGAAATAAAAGAAGTAATAAAAACTCTGAAAGAGTCGAAGCCGGAGGTGGCCTACTCACTGGGCACCTTCATTTACTTTTTTAAAATTGTCTTCACAGCTGGCGTTTTATGAAAGGCTGTGTTTTAGTCATCGCACGCCTCTGAAGAATGACTTTCAACATTGCGGCTTTGAAAAATAAAGGGTATTGTGTAGAGATATACCCTGTTTCCCCGAAAATAAGACCCAGCTGGAAAATAAGTCCTAGCATGATTTTTCAGGATGCTCATAATATAAGCCCTACCCCCAAAATAAGCCCCAGTTAAGACTGTCAGTGAGATGGATGCATTTGGTAACATATTTTCCCCAAAATAAGACCTAACAGGAAAATAAGTCCTAGCATGATTTTTCAGGATGCTCGTAATATAAACCCTACCCCCAAAATGAGCCCAGTTAAGATTGTCAGCCAGAGGATGCATTTGGTACCATATTTTCCCCAAAATAAGACCCAAATGGGAAATAAGTCCTAGTATGATTTTTTCAGGATGCTCGTAATATAAGCCCTATCCCCAGAATAAGCCCCAGTTAAGATTGTCAGCCAGATGGATGCATTTGGTACCCTATTTCCTCCAAAATTAGACCTAACCAGAAAATAAGTCCTAGCATGATTTTTCAGGATGCTCTTAATAGAAGCTCTACCCCAAAAATAAGCCCCTGTTAAGATTGTCAGCCAGAGGATGCATTTGAAAAGAAAGAGGGAAGGAAAGGAAAGGAAAGAGAGAAGGGAAGGAAAAGAAAAGAAAAGAGGAAAGGAAAGGAAAGGAAAGGAAAAGAAAAGAAAAGAAAAGAAAAAGGGAAGGGAAGGGAAGGGAAGGAAAGGAAAGGAAAGGAAAGGAGGAAGGGAAGGGAAGGAAAAGAAGAAGGGAAGGAAAGGAAAGAGGGAAGGGAAGGAAAAGAAAAGAAAAGGAAAGAAAGAGGAAAGGAAAGGAAAAGAACAGAAAAAGGGAAGAAGTGAAGAGGGGAAGGAAAAGAAAAGAAAGAGGGAAGGAAAAGAAAGAGAGAAGGGAAGGAAAAGAAAAGAAAGAGGAAAGGAAAGGAAAAGAAAAGAAAAGAAAAAGGAAAGGAAAGGAAAGGAAAGGAAAAGAAAGGGAAGGAAAGGAAAGGAAAAGAAAAGAAAAGAAAAGAAAAAGGGAAGGGAAGGAAAGGAAAAGAAAGGGGGAAGGGAAGGGAAGAGGGAAGGGAAAGAAAAGAAAAGAAAAAGGGCAGGAAAGGAAAGCGGGACAGGAGAGAGGAGAGGAGAGGAGAGAATGCAGAAGAGAAGGGCAGGGAAGAGAAGAAGGGAAAAAAAGAGAAGAGAAGAGCAAGGAAGCCCCCTCCCTTGAGCTCGCCTAGGGAACGCGGGTGGCCAATGCCCTTGGAGGTGCGGACGGGGCGTTTGGATCCAGGTTCTCCAACAGCGCACCTGGGCAGAAAAGCGCAGGTTGGAAAGCGCAGCGCAGAGCCGCTTTTTTTGAGGGGGGGGGGGGAGGAAGAGGAGGGTCCCTGCCCGCCCCCCCCCCCCCACCCCCCCCCCCTTTAGCTCTTCCCAGCCCTCCCGATCCAAGGCGGCCGCCTCTCTCGCGAGAAGCGGCGCGCTTGGCCCCGGCCAGGTGGAGCGGAGCGGAGCGCAGCGCAGAGGCGGCGGCGGCGCTGGCACGGCGGAAGCCCCCGGGGGGCAGGTGCCCTGGTGCAGCCGGAGGAGGGAGAGGGGGACCGGGCGCCCCCCGCCTGCCTGAGCCGCTCCATGCCTCGGCGTCCCCGGAGCGCTGCCTCGGCCGCCCGGGCGCTGGGGAGCCTCGGCCATGGCGGAGGCGGCCGGCCAGGGCGCAGGTGAGAGCGCAGGCAGCGCCAGGTAGGAGGCGCCGGGGGAGGGCGCGGGGGGGGGGGGGGGGGAGGGAGGGGGAGCAGGTTGCTGGAGCCCCCCCCTCCCCTCCCCTCCCCCAAGTCTTCAGGTCCCGCCGGTGGGGAAGGGAAGGGATGGGGAGACCCAAGAAGTGGGGACCAGAAGGAGAGCTTCCATTCATTTCCTTGCGCCTGGAGCTCCTTGCCTCCTCCCAGGATCTCTCTCTCTCTCTCTCTCTGTGTCTCTCTCTCTGTTTCTCTCTTTTTCTGTCTGTCTCTCTCTCTCTCTCTCTCTCTCTGTCTGTCTGTTTCTCTTCCTCTGTGTGTGTGTGTGTCTGTCTATCTGTCCTTCTCTGTCTCTCTCTCTCTGCCTCTTTCTCTCTCTGTGTGTCTGTTTCTCTCTCTGTCTCTCTCTGTTACTCTCTTTCTGTCTCTCTCTCTCTCTGTCTCTCTTTCTGTATCTATGTATGTCTGTTTCTCTGTGTGTGTCCCTCTGTGAGTCTGACTCTCTGTCTCTGTTTCTCTCTCTGTCTCTCTGTATGTCTGTCTGTCTGTTTCTCTCTCTCTCTCTTTGCATCCCTGTGTGTCTGTCTCTCTCTGTGTCTCTGTTTCTCTCTTTCTCTGACTCTCTGTGTGTGTCTGCGTCTCTCTGTCTCTCTGTATGTGTTCTGTTTCTCTGTCTCTGTTTCTCTCTTTGTGTGTCTGTCTCTCTCCCCCCTCTCCCTCTCCCACTCTGTGTCTGTTTCTCTCTCTGTGTGTGTCTGTTTCTCTCTGTCTCTCTCTCTGTTTCTCTCTTTCTCTGTCTCTCTGTGTGTGTGTCTCTCTCTCTCTGTGTATCTCTGTGTGTGTCTGTCTCTCTCTGTCTGTTTCTTTGTCTCTCTCTGTGTGTTTGTGTCTGTCTGTCTGTCTGTCTCTGTCTCTTTATGTGTCTGTGTGTGTGGGAGGGGGGTGTTTGTCTGTCTCCCTCCCTCCCCCCCTCTCTCTGTCTCTCTCTCTCCCCTCTGTGTGTGTAAAGAGAGAGAGAAAGAGAGAGAGAAAGATACATACATACATACATACATACATACATACATACATACATTCCAGCGGGGACTCGCTCTCCTCAGCTCCCACCCTTTCCCTTCCTCTTTTGCTCTTCCTTCCTTCCTTCCTTCAAAAAGAGGGAAGAGCTAAAATAATGTTAAAATAATAAATGAAAAGAGCTAAAAGGAGGGGGGGTCACCCACCTCTCCTTTTCATTCAGGAGCCCACCCCCAGAATATTTCAAAAGGTGTTAAGTGCAAGAAAAGTCATTGGCGGTAAATCTTGAATGGAGTTAGATGGATTTTTAAATATACCCCAAGTTTCAGAATGGGGAAAAGTAGTTTGTGAGATCCAAGGAGAGGAGATGAGTTGGAGCTTATTATCAACTCCTGGTGAGGAGGAGGAGAAGGAGGAGGAGGAGAAGGAGAAGGAGAAGGAGGAGGAGGAGGAGAAGGAGAAGGAGAAGGAGAAGGAGAAGGAGAAGGAGAAAGATCCTGTGGGACTTTTGGATCCCAACAGACAGACATCTGGCCCACAACACACCTGACATCACTATTGTGGAAAAGAAAAAAAGTCTGTTCATTGATATTGCAATAACAAAATATGCATGAATTGAAGAGAAACAGCTGGGAAAAATAACAAAATATCACGATTTGCAAATTGAAGTCGAGCGACTGTGGAGGCAGAAACCAGTGAGAGCCCTTGGAGCCACACCCAAAGGGTTGCCTAGATACATGGAAATTTTGAACTTATCAGACCTGAATATTCTGACTTTGAGGGAAAAAAATTCACCTTACTCAGAACTGCCTATATACTCAGACGTTACCTTAAAACTCTTACTTAGATCCTTGGTTAGGACTTGAACTGTTAAGAATTTTACCAGTCTCAGACTATGAATCGAATTGAAGATATAATAATAATACCGTGTTTCCCTGAAAATAAGACCCTGTCTTCTATTTTTTTGAACCCTGAAATAAGCGCTTTGGCCTTATTGCCATGCGCTCAAAAGCCAAATTGGGTTTATTATCAGGGGATGTCTTATTTTGGGGGAAACAGGGTATCTATCTATCTGTCTGTCTGTCTGTCTATCTATCCATATCTATCTATCTATCTATCTATCTATCTATCTATCTATCTATCTATCTATCTATCTATCACCTATCTATCTACCTTGTTTCCCCAAAAAATAAGACCCTGTCTTCTATTTTTTTGAACCCTGAAATAAGTGTTGGCCTTATTGCCATGCGCTCAAAAGCCAAATTGGGTTTATTATCACGGGATGTCTTATTTTGGGGGAAACAGGGTATCTGTCTATCTGTCTGTCTGCCTTTCCGTCCGTCCGTCGTCTGTCTGTCTGTCTGTCTATCTATCTATCTACCTTGGTTTCCCCAAAAATAAGACTGTCTTATATTTTTTTTGAACCCTGAAATAAGTGCTTGGCCTTATTGCCATGCGCTCAAAAGCCCGATTGGGTTTATTATCAGGGGAATGTCTTATTTTGGGGGAAACAGGGTAATAATAATAATAAGAAGAAGAAGAATAATGTAGCATGTGACAGTGATACCCATTGTCATCGGGGCACTTGGTACCATGTCCAAGAATTTTATAAGATACATCAATAAATTGCAGCTTCCTGCAATAACACCAGCGGAACTGCAAAAAACTGTGCTACTTGGAATATCGTACATTTTAAGAAGGTACTTGGTTGACACCTAGGACGTTGGCAGCAACCTGAATCAACCATTAGCATTAGTCAATGGTATTTGTGGTGCATTTTTGAATGTTTAGTTGACTGAGGTTCATGTTTAGAGAATAAAAGTTTATACTAATAATAATAACATCAATCTAAAGCATTTTAGACTGCTTAGTGTCTCTCAAACCTTGGGATCCTGTTTTGACAAAGAGCATATTTTTGCCAAGGTTTTTACTCTTGCTGCCCAGAAAGCTGCAAATTGGCCACCAAAATTTCCAATTCTTGGGGAAAATATCATTTTACCTGGTCTTTAGGAGAAGGAAGCTTCTGGTGAGCCAACAGAATGAGTGGGTCACCTCAATCTGATGCAAAGGCTTGGAGCCAATAATTTAATATTATACGATTCCTGGGATGTTACTTAATATGCTTTGTTTCAAACAGGAATCAAGACGAGACTGGGAAAGCCACTTGTCTGAAATGGCCTAGGGCCGTGATGGGGAACCTATGGCACGCGTTTTAAATTATGGGCCAAATTTATAAATTATTTTAACTTTATTTTTAACTGTGATGTTTTGTATAGATGTTTTTATCTTGGCTGTTCACCGCCCTGAGTCCGAAAGGAGAAGGGCAGTATAGAAATTTGAATAAAGTAAAGTAAAGTAAAGTAGCCATATCAGTGGGCATGCCAGCTAATTTTTGGGCTTTCTGGGCCCACCAGAAGTAGGGAGACAGGCTGCTTCCTGCCTCCGGAGGGTGGGTGGGGAAGGCCCATTTTTCTTTCTCGCCTGGCTCCAGAGACTCGGCTGGGTACAGCAAAAAACGTCACTTCCAACCAGAAGTTGGGAATCGGGCCATTTTGGGCCTCTGGAGGGCCTCGGAGGAGGTGGGGAAGGCTGTTTTCGCCCTCCCCAGATGCATAGAGAGGATCTGGAGCCAGGTGAGAGAGGAAAACGGGCCTACCGGGCCATCGCATGCCAGGAGTGGCGGGTGGGGAGGGAGAGTTGCGTGTGCATGCGTGGGGCAGGGCACATGGAATTATGGGTGTGAGCACATGGGCGTGCAAACCTTCCCCGCCCCCCCCCTTCGTGGCACACGATGGCAAAAAGGTTAGCCATCACTGGCCTAGGGTCTCTGTTGTTGTTTGTCGTTTGATGACCCCATAATCCCTTGCGGGGTGGAGCCTGGGTAATTGAATGGAGCTGAGTGTTTACTGGCCGGATGCCCTTCCCATCGCCAATGCAGAGTTTTGTTCAGCAGATACATTCTCATTGTGCCCAGAGAGTTGAAATACCTGCCTCTACCAAGGATCGAACTTCCTTTCCAACTCTGTTAGTCTGAATTAATTCTGTACCCTGTATTAATTCTGTCTCCTGCACTTGGTAATCCTTTACCTGACTGGCTTTCTAGTTTAGAACTCGGAAATTTATTTGCACCGTTGGAAAATGGGGAAGGTCTCCGGTTGGCCTTCTTACATCATCTCCCTTTCACCTCTGTGGATAATCTCCTCCAACTTTCTAAAGAATGGAGTAACTCCACTGGAGTTTTAGTTTACAAATAGGCAGTTGAGGCCAAGGCAGATAATTATTGTCTAATCAGCCTGTTGTGTATAATCAGCAAAATTATATCTCTATCACCAGCTGGCTGGATGAAAGAAGAGAGAGCCTGGGCTGCTTTTAATGGGAGATGGCGTTTGATTTAATTCCTTGAGAGGGTTTAATGCCAACGTTGTTAATCTCTTTAGTAATTGTCTTCTCCAGTCGTGCTACTGCACGAGAATACAAGTTGGTGGAGAAATATATATTTTCTTCTTCTTCTTCTTTTTTTAAAATAATTTTTATTAAACAGTTTTTTTTTAAAAAAAGAAATTTTTACAATTTTCTTCTTTTCAACATTTTCACCTCAGTAAACATTTCTTCCGTATCCATTTTTCTCCCTTACTTCAATTTACCATTTATACATATGATTCTAATATTGATTTATATACATAAAGATAACAAGGTACTCAATTTCAATCGTACATTCTGTGTCCGTTCCATTCTTGCTTGTTTGTTACTACATCTCAACTCCTATATCTTCCTCGTTTACTCTTTCCTTGCCCTTTATACCTCTCCTCTAACCGCTCATACCATTTCTCTCCTACCATGTAGTATTCTGTTCCCTCCTTTTCTTGTATTTTGTGAGCTTGTCCATCTCTGCGCACTCCAAAAATATATTTTGATATATTTTAATATAAACTGTGTGTAGATAAAACAGATTAAAGTCTGGATATATGTCTACGGAGACCTCCTATCTCCAGTCTACAACACAACTCCTTTCAGCAGTTCCAAAAAGGCTCCACCCACATTTGCACCACTCAGGTGGCCCTGAGGACACAGAGAAACCTCCAAGCGGCCTCAACGACTCTCTAAAAGGATGCAAATGACCAGCTGTCTGCAAGGAGTATAAATCCTTCCATTCCCCACCATCCAGCCAGAGCTGAAGAAGCTTCTTGGATGAGAAGTGAAAGGTCTTCAAAGAAAAACCAGAAAGTCCAGTTATCACCTTTGGGATAAAGTCTGGATAGTGGATAGTTGAAGATTCTCGGCATTGACAAAATCACGATCAGTCAATTGCGAAAGGCAGCTTAACTCGGAATGGCTTACATCCTGCGATGACGATACCTCTAACGCTATCAAACAGCCACACCTGCCTATCCCAGCTCCTTGGGGAGGACTTGATGGGCGGATAAAAAAGCCAAATCCAGTTTGAACATCTGGCTGACTGTCCTGTAAATCGTAACACCAGAATGACACATCTAACACCGTCCAACATCAACATCTGTCCCAAATCTTAGGGACTCGATAGGATCAACACCAGATCCAGTGTAAACATCTGGCTGACTGTCCTCTAAACCATAAAGTTACTACAAAGACACTTCTAATATCATCCAACATCAACATCTGTCCCAAATCCTTGGGACTTGATAGGATAAATGCCAAATTCAGTCTGAACATCTGGCTGTAAACCATAATACCACAGTGACACCTGTAAACCATAATACCACAATGACACCTCTAATACCAACGTCAACAACTGTCCCAAATCCTTGGCACTTGATAGGATACAGCAAATGCCAAATCCAGCCTGAACATCTGGCTGACTCTGCGACGCGCCACAATAAATACTGTAATAACAACGTAGAGATAATTTGGGAGTCTGTATTCTTTCCCCCTCGTGGTTCAGCAAATTAATTCCAATAGCAACCCCTTCCTCTTTCAGCTTGGATGCTATATTTTGTCTGTTTTCAGATAATCTTCCCGGGGAAGGAAACCAGGCTGTTGTTTCGGCAGGCTCAAACATCATGTCTCCCGTGGCCCCTTCAATAAATTCATTTACGGCGGAATTTCCTAGAAAGCGAAAAGGGAGCGACTCCGATACTCAGTAAGTGTGAATATTTACTTTTTTGTTGTTGTTAAGCAATAACCCCGGATTGATTTTGCTTGGCATTGAACTGTGCCTGTTATTCCACACCCCCAGATGTTGGATTTGGAAGCTAGGCTGTTTTTATGGGATGGATATTAATTTTCCTGGAAGCAGCCGAATATCGGATAGCCCCCGGTGCTGATTTTTATTATTTTTCTGTTATATGCAATCTCACCCTGTGGCACCTGCAGGACAGGAGAGAGAGAGAAAAACATACAATGGTCGTACCTGGGGGAAAAAGTAGTATTCTGGGTTGCTAGGGTAGTTATTGGAGATGTCTGGCTGGGGAGAAATGCTGGCGAAACTGCAAGAAATCCTGGAAGAAGCAAAATGATTAATGTTGAGATTCTTCCCAGTTTGGGCTGACTCAATAACTGTTCTGCCCCAGCTTCGGATTTCCGAGGATATTGACACACACCAACGGTCCTTATCAAATTTATTAAGTAGCAAGAATAAACAAGACCGGCAAAGATTGGCAACCAGCCCAGAAAACAAGATACGATAAACCAAAATACTCTGATAATAATAATAGTTGTTTCCAGCAAGAACGCACTAGCTGCGTGCGACTTAAATAGGCTAAGGGAGTGACTAATTATCCTCAAGCCCTACTCTCGAGTAGACCTCCTCCTCCTGAGTAGCCACTCTTGCCTTTTGGCAGCCCTGCGTGCTCGAGCATTGAGGAGAGGCTCCTCCACTTCACTCTCTCCACTTGAAGGAGCCTCTGGAGGTTCTGAAGGCCCTGGCTGAGTCTCTGCCTCTGGCACCACATCCTCTTCAGCCTCCTCGCTGTCCGACGTGAGCGCCGGCTGCACAGGCTGCTGGCGTGACACCACACCAGCCTCCTCGTCATCGGGATCAACCACGATCCGCGTAGGCTGCTGGCGGGCCACAACACTAACCTAACTGCACTCCGCCCCTTCAAAGTGTGTGTGTGTGTGTGATAGGGAAGGAGAAAGGGCAGGAAAGGAATCCAGAGGCGGAAAAACAGATGTTTCACATCTAGACCTTTAAACTTCCTGGAAGAATCTGTTATATGATTGTCTGGAATGGTTTAGGGCAGGGATCAGCAACCTGTGGCTCTGGAGCCGCATGTGGCTCTTCTGCTAGAGGATTGGGATCTTGCTCTTTTTCATAGCCCCATGGTCAATTTTATTTTTGAGTTTATGAAATAAACTCCATCTCCGAAGGAAACGTGCTTTGCGTTACAGGTAGCCCTCACTTGTACGGCCACAAGTGAGCCCAAAATTTATGTGGCTAAGCGAGACATTTGCTAAGTGAGTTTTGCCCCGTTTTACGACCTTACTTTCCACGGTTGTTAAGTGAATCACTGCGGTGGGTAAGTGAGTAGCACGGTTGTTAAATGAATCTGGCTCCCTCGTTGATTTTGCTGGTCAGAAGGTCGCAAAACGGGATCAAGCGACGCTGGGACACTGCAATCAGAGGTGGAATTCATCTGGTTCGGATTGGTTCGGGTGAACCGGTAGCTCCGACCATCAGCTGGCTTTTATTTCCTGCTTTCTAGTTCATCTCAATCACGCGAATCTACCTTGTATTGTCTCTAAGGAGTTTAGTCACCTCTGCAAGATCCTTCATCTTCAAATCATGATTTATTTTCAGTTGTACTGATTTTTCGTTCTTCTGATGAATTTAAATTCTCTTTCCCTAGATATACCTGTGACACTGAGGGCGATGATCTCCAGAGCAGGTAGAATGTTTTCTCTAAAATAAAAAAAAAAATAAAAAAAAAAAAAGAAAAAGAATGAGATGAAATTTACCTTCTTGGCTGTGTTACGTACCCAACATTGAGTAAAATCTATTAGCTGGAAATGCTCAGAACTTTACGAAACGTGTTAAAATGGTTAGGCAGAATATTGCTTCACAGTTGGACCACAAGTGACTATTTCTAGTTTGGCTAGTAAAAAATATTCAAAACTTTAGAACTTATGGGCGTGTGCTCAAACAAACCAAGTTCAAAAGAACTTTCAGTGTTCTTGATTCAGACAAACTCGAGTTAAATGGTGGTTAGTCGATTGGAAGAAGTAATGATAATCTAACTGAGTAAAATATAGAGGTGGAAAACTCCAAATTTCATTTTATGACCAGTTTTTTTTAGAATTGCATTTGAAAAAGATTATCTAAAAGGACTGTGTATACACACACAATTACGACTATAATTCCAGACTTAATTACAGATGTAAATCAAGGACTACCTCATGTTTTAGATGGTTGAAATTTCTCTGCTTTTTAATATTTGGGTTACTCTCAAACTCTAATTAAAATTAAAATACTTTTCAGCTAGAAAATTCTGCTAATGATTTCTCAATTTTTAATGATTATTCAAATATTTATTCACGCTAATTGATAACAACTTGTTTGTATTTCATTGATATAAATATAAAGAAACTTTTTTTTCTAGCACTGTGGAAGAATATCTGGGGAAATTCTATATCTATCATCTATCATCTATCTATCTATCTATCTATCTATCTATCTATCTATCTATCTATCATATAAATATATATTCTTACAACTTGTTTTTTTTTTAATTATCCTGTTTTCATGGAACTAGATAAGTTATTTCAAGTGTTTAAAGCATCCACTATGGGCAAATGTTTTTGTTATAAGCAGTATATTATTGTAGAATCAATCTCCGTGTTTATCCAGCTGCATTACATTTAATTTTAAGCATTTTTCTTAGGAGTGAAGATGAAGAGCATGTGAAAATCAAGTATTTCAGGTACCTACAAATTAGACCATAATTTATTTTCCAAAGAAAAATTAAAACTTAAAATTAATTTTGGGTATTGTGATACCCAAACAAGAGATATCTGTGTACTTTCTTTTTTAAGTAATCTGTGTACTTTTCTTTTTTTTTCTTTTTCTTTTTAAATGCATAGAATCATTACTTTTTTTTTTATAGACACCAGCTTTGCAATTTTTTTCCCCCAGAGTTTCATATTTAAGAATGACTTAAATATGAAAGAAGATATGAGCTTCTTTGTAGCAATTGGCCAACAATATTTTAGTGGTGTGGAGAGAGAGATAATTTTAATAGGGAAATACATTTTGGGCATAGGGGGGTTCCAGCAGGTTCTGACCAGTCCTGGAGAACCGGTAGCGGAAATTTTGAGTAGTTCGGAGAACCGGTTGTAAAAATTCTGATTGGCCCCGCCCCCATCTATTCTCTATCTCCCGAGTCCCAGCTGATCGGGAGGAAATGGGGATTTTGCAGTATCCTTCCCCTGCCACGCCCACCAAGCCACGCCCACCAAGCCATGCCACGCCCACCAAGCCACACCCACAGAACCGATAGTAAAAAAATTTGAAACCCACCACTGATTTTGGATCTTCTTCCCCCCCCCCTTAGGGAGGCTCACAGCCAAACAGAGAAAAGACGAAGAGACAAAATGAATAACCTGATAGAAGAATTATCGGCTATGATACCTCAATGCAGTCCGGTGGCTCGTAAACTGGATAAGCTCACCGTTTTAAGAATGGCTGTCCAGCATGTAAAGTCAATGAAAGGCAAGTACGAAATATTATCAAAAATTCCAAACGTTGATTCAGAAGCTGTCCTTTTGAATCATCATCATCACCATCCTTTTTTAAGGATCCCATAATCCCTTGCTTTGGGATGGAGCCTGGGCAACTGAATGGAGCTGAAAGTTTACTGGCCGGATGCCCTCCCTGTCACCAATGTGGAGTTTTGTTCAGCAGATATATTTGCATTATTTTCTCTGGGTTTATATATATAAAAAAAGGTCTAAAGTTGGTGTGGTAATCAATCCAGTTCAGATGGTGAAAGCTACAATCATTCTTCCCACACTTTACCGATATTGCGCCAAGGAGAATAGATCAGTGCTTAACTCACCTTGCAGTGAGCGTTACTCAATCTTTACTACTCCTGGCATCTTAACTAATGAATGAAATAGGTCAGCGACTTTCATCCTGCCCGTCTGTTTTGTTCTTGGGTTCATATGCACATGGCTGAAAAAAAATCTCACGCGGGTTTTCCATAAAAGTGATTTAACTTCATTTAAATTTACCAGCAGGGCGTTACAAGGAAAGTGATTTAGAATGCCACTTCTGAGTTCTAATAAGTGCTTGTCTCGTATATTTGTTTTAGTTAATTAAGGAATCCATCCTCTGTTCCTCCCTCCCTCCCTTCCTTCTCCTTGCCTTCCTCCTTTTCCTTCCTTCCTTCCTTCCTTCCTTCCTTCCTCCCTCCCTCCCTCCCTCTCTCCCTTCTACTCGCCTTCCTCCTTCCTTCCCTTCCTCCCTCCCTCCGCCCCTCCCTCCTCCTTCCTCTCTCCCTCCCTTCTCCTCACCTGCCTGCCTCTCCCTCTTTCCGTCTCTTCCTTCCTTCCCTCTCTCCCTCTCTTCCCTCTCTTCCTTCTTCCTTTCTCCCTCCCTCTCTCCCTTCTACTCGCCTTCCTCCTTTCCTTCCTTCCCTTCCTCCTTCTTTCCTTTTCTCCCTTCCTCCCTCCACCCCCTCACTTCCCTACTCCTTCCTTCCTCCCTCCTTCCCTTCTTGCCTGCCTGCCTGCCTGCCTTCCCTCCCTCCTTCTTCCTCCCTCCCTCCCTTCTCCTCACCTGCCTGCCTCCCTCCCTCCTTCCGTCTCTTCCTTCCTTCCCTCCCTCCCTCTCTTCCCTCTCCTTCTTTCCCTCCCTCTCTACCTAAATCTCACAACTATTTTGCAGGTTCCACCGGTTCTTACTCAGAAGTTAGGTATAAGCCTTCGTTTTTGCAGGACGAGGAACTTCAACACCTCATCCTTAAGGTAAATTAAAGGTGGAGAGAGGGACCTTGCTATTTCTGCAAGCAGCATCTGCCAACAGGGTTTACACCTGCATTATAGTCAAGATCCCAGTTTCAAAACTATTCATAAACAGATGTGCAAATGCCCCTTTTTGACCTGTGGCTTTAGAGACGGCTCCATTCTGCATCTGGAAATATTCTGAATATGAAAAATATTACAAGCTTCAAAGAACACTTCAGCTGCAGGCAGAATAATGTTCCAATTCTTCCTTTTTAAAAAAATTGGGACAAGTCTTTTTAAACTCCAGTCTGGATGTTTTCACATTTGAAATGTCTTAATTTGTACTCCTCTTACCAGTGGTGAAATCCATTTTTTTTTACTACTGGTTCTGTGGGCGTGGCTTGGTGGGCAGGGGAAGGGGATACTGCAAAATCCCCATCCCCTCCCCACTCCTGGGGGAAGGATATTGCAAAATCTCCATTCCCATCCCTCTCGGGGGCCAGCCAGAGGTGGTATTTGCCGGTTCTCCGAACTGCTCAAAATTTCTGCTACCGGTTCTCCAGAACCTGTCAGAACCTGCTGGATTTCACCCCTGTGTCTTAGTCTATAACAAGACTTAAAATATATGTTGCATCAAATTGGGGCTTTAAAAGTTTGCAGATGAAGATGTAAGTCGAATGAAATTTAGTAAGCTGCTTGCTGGATTCAGTCACAGATAAATTTTAGTTAAAATTTTAGGGAATTTATTTAGGGAATAAAAAAAATGAGCTAGACAAAGTCACAAATCAGTTTTAATTAAAAATTTTATGCCATTGAAGCAATAAATAAATGAACTAAACTAAACTAAATCACAGATCAGTTTTATTTAAAAATTTAACATTTATTTGGGGAATAAAAAAATGAGCTAGACTAAGTCACAAATCAGTTTTAATTAAAATTTTAATACCATTGAGGGAATAAATAAATGAATTAAAGTAAATCACAGATTAGTTTTAGTTAGAATTTTAACACTATTTAGGGAATAAATAAATGAGCTAGACTAAATCACAGATTAGCTTTAATTAACATTTTGACACTATTAAGGAATAAATGACCTACACAAAGTCACAGATTAGCTTTAATTAACATTTTAACACTACCGTATTGAAGGTAAATAAATGAGCTAGGCTAAGTCACACATCAGTTTTAGTTAAAATTTGAATACCATTTAAGGAATGAATAAAAGAAGGAGACTGTCACAGGTTAATTTTAATTTTTAACACTATTTAAGGAATAAATCAGTGAACTTAATATTAAATTAAGGAAACCAGGCAGATGCAATCTGTGCCATTTAAAGCACATACGGGATCAGACTGATTATCTCCATGATATAAATTTTCTCTTGAGGGCACATTGGAAAGTCATTTAAAGTAACCACACACCCCCAAAAAATCACACCATTAAATCCGAGCGATTCAAATCCCCAGAACTTGAGCTGTATTTAGTCAGCAAATAATTAAGAAGATTGGCTTGAATCAGGATTTATTTCAGTAACCGCACATCGTATCCCAGCACAACACGTAGAGATCGTGAGGCTTAAAATATAGAACTGAAAGTGAGGATAAATTCTATAAATACCATGGGGCTAATTCTAAAACTCTGATTTAGCCCAGAGCTTATCAAGTTTAGGAAGCCCATTTCTAAGATTGCAAGGCAACAAAATGAAAATGGCTGACTTATAGCTGATGAAGAGAAATTTAGGATCTGTTTGATTATAGAAGAATAGAGTTGGAAGGGACCTCGGAGGTCTTCTAGTCCAACCCCCTGCTCTAGCAGGAGACCCTATAACATTTCAGATAAATGATTGGCCAGCCTCTCCTTAAAAGCCTCCAGCGATGGAGCACCCAAAACTTCTGAAGGCAACTTCCGTTCCACTGATGAATTGTCCTCATCGTTAAAAATGCTTTTAAAAGCCTCTAACAATCAGGCAACTCAGCTGGGATCGTCAGAGGCTTTTAAAAGAAAAAAAGCTTCTGCCGATCAGGCAACTCAGCTGGGATCGTCAGAGGCTTTTAAAAGAAAAAAGCTTCTGCGATCAGGCAACTCAGCTGGGATCGTCAGAGGCTTTTAAAAGAAAAAAAGCTTCTGCCGATCAGGCAACTCAGCTGGGATCGTCAGAGGCTTTTAAAAGAAAAAAAGCTTCTGCCGATCAGGCAACTCAGCTGGGATCGTCAGAGGCTTTTAAAAGAGAAAAAAGCTTCTGCCGATCAGGCAACTCAGCTGGGATCGTCAGAGGCTTTTAAAAGAGAAAAAAGCCTCTGCCGATCAGGCAACTCAGCTGGGATCGTCAGAGGCTTTTAAAAGAGAAAAAAGCCTCTGCCGATCAGGCAACTCAGCTGGGATCGTCAGAGGCTTTTAAAAGAGAAAAAAGCCTCTGCCGATCAGGCAACTCAGCTGGGATCGTCAGAGGCTTTTAAAAGCATTTTTTTTCTACAACCTCTTCAGCTGAAGAAGGTTGAAAAAATGCTTTTAAACATAAAAAAAAAAGTCTCTGATGATCGCGCGGCTCAGCTGGGCATGGGGGGGGGAGGCAGGGATTTTTGCTACCGGTTCTCTGAACCACCCGCCGCCATTGCTACCAGATCGGGCGATCCGGTCCGAACTGGAGCATTTCACCCCTGAATGAAACGTCTTCAAGAAAGAGCCAAGCTCAGAGACAACCAAGAACTCCGGACGTTGGAAAGGTATAGCTTACAGTAGAAATGTATAGTCTACAAATTCCTGTGATTGTGACTGGGAGGAGCAAAACCTTAGTTGCTAAAAGGAGGTGAAGGGAATATCACAACTGTTTGTGGGTCTGTCTGTCTTCAGGGCGAAACATGGTGCTGATTTCTTTTTTTCTTAGAAAACGCTAATACCAGCATTTTAATGTCGCTTTCTTCTATCCTGACCTGACTTCTTACTACAGAACTGCCTGCTTGTCTCCATTACAGTTTTATCTTGGTCTCCTTCATTTATAGATCGCCGATGGTTTCCTATTCGTGGTTGGATGCGACAGAGGGAAAATCCTGTTTGTTTCCGAATCGGTTTCCAAGATACTTAATTATGACCCCGTAGGTAGCCTAGTATTTAAAACTCTTCTATCAATAGCCTTGAATTTGCTGTAAAATGTCATATAAGCTCTGGGCAGAAGAGCGAGGATCAAATGGTGTTATTTGAGACATGGGCCTTCCGTGCTCATGGTTACAGCATGGAAGTATCTTGACGGGCATTGATTGAAATGAGGTTATTATAATAGAGCTTAGAAGAAATTAAGGGTGGCTCAGTGGCCAAGATGCTGAGCTTGTCGATCGAAAGGTCGGCAGTTCAGCGGTTCGAATCCCTGGTGCCGCGTAACGGGGTGAGCTCTCGTGACTTGTCCCAGCTTCTGCCAACCTAGCAGTTCGAAAGCCCGTAAAAAATGCAAATAGAAAAATAGGGACCACCTTTGGTGGGAAGGGAACAGCGTTCCGTGCGCCTTTGGCGTTGAGTCATGCCAGCCACATGACCACGGAGACGTCTTCGGACAGCGCTGGCTCTTTGGCTTTGAAACGGAGATGAGCACCGCCCCCTAGAGTCGGGAACGACTAGCACATAGGTGCGAGGGGAACCTTTACCTTTAGAAGAAATGTTTCTACTTAATTGAAACTATATTGTACTGTCCTTCTATAAGGACTCACGGACCCATCTCATAAACCGGATAAAATATCTGGGAAATACTGATTTTTTTTTTATGTACAATTATCAGATCAGTCCAATGTACTCTTTTTGAAGGTAGGTAAATTTTGTTATACTTAATTAGGCAGACTTTGACTGACAGGCCCACCGGCAGTCACCACCAATTATTAAATTGTCATTCTAGTCTATTCTGTTCCATTCCGTTTTATATTCCATATTCCATATTCTATTCTGTTCTGTTCTGTTCTGTTCTGTTCTGTTCTGTTCTGTTCTATTCTATTCTATTCTATTCTATTCTATTCTATTCTATTCTATTCTATTCTATTCTATTCCATTCCATTCCATTCCATTCCATTCCATTCCATTCCATATTTTCTGTTCTGTTCTGTTCTATTATTCTATTCTATTCTATTCTATTCTATTCTATTCTATTCTATTCTATTCTATTCTATTCTATTCTATTCTATTCTATTCTATTCTGCTTCTGCTTCTGCTTCTGCTTCTGCTTCTGCATTCTACTCTATTCTACTCTACTCTTTTCCATTCCGTTCCGTTCCGTTGCATTCTATATTCTGTATTCTGTATTCTGTATTCTATTTTCTATTTTCTGTATTCTTTATCCTCTTCTCTTCTCTTCTCTTCTCTTCTCTTCTCTTCTCTTCTCTTCTCTTCTCTTCTCTTCTCTTCTCTTCTCTTCTCTTCTACCCTACCCTACCCTACCCTACCCTACCCTACCCTTCCCTACCCTACCCTACCCTACCCTACCCTACCCTATCCTATCCTATCCTATCCTATCCATGTTGGTCTGTGACCGTAATAAAATAACTTCTACTATTAGAACAAGGCCTAAAAAACCCAAATATTTCTACTGAATTGAAAAGATGATAACAGTGATGAAATTATTTAATCACTCAAACATTAGACTCCCAAGTTTTTTTATTGGCTTCTTTGACTAAGATGGTCAAGGCGGGGTCAGTAATCTTACCACGTTGTGTTCCCTCAGGCACATCTGACTGGGCAAAGCCTTTTTGACTATCTTCACCCGAAGGACGTGGCCAAAGTCAAAGAACAGCTGTCCTCTTCAGATGCTTCGCCCAGAGAAAAACTGATCGATACCAAAAGTAAGGATGCAATTAAAAAATCATTTCATAAGACGGGGCAATATTTTTCCCGCAGTGTGTATCAGCCCAATCAGGCACGTATGAACGCTTCTGGATATAAATGAATAAAAATATAACATGTTGTGCAGAAATGAATAATATGTATGTTCTGAATGAGGGGTCTGAGGAATTCTGGGAGTTGAAGTCCACGAGTCTTAAAGCTGCCATGCTTGGAGACCCCCTGATCCAAACTGGCTGAGGAATTCTGGGAATTGTAGTCCACCAGCCTTAAAGTTGCCACGTTTGGAGACCCCTATTCTAAATTTTCTTCTTACATTTAGTACAAAAGGCCTGACATACAGCTAGTCCTCAAATTAGGGCAACCCACCCCCACCCCCCCAAAAGCTTCTTACGATCCAGTTCTGACAGCTCCCCCCCCAGTCACATGACCACATTTTTGACGCTTGGCAATCAGCCTGCATTTAACTTGCCAAATTTCTAGCGATAATTTGCCGAAGCTGGGTAATATAGCCCAGTGGTGAAATCCAAATTTTTTTACTACCAGTTCTGTGGGCGTGGATTGGTGGGCATGGCAGGGGAAGGATCCTGCAAAATCCCCATTCCCACCCTACTCCAGGGGAAGGATCCTGCAAAATCCCCATTCCCACCCTACTCCAGGGGAAGAATACTGCAAAATCCCCATTCCCTCCCCACTAGGAGAAGGATACTGCAAAATCCCCATTCCCTCCTCACTCCACGGGAAGGATACTGCAAAATCCCCATTCCCTACCCACTCCAGGGGAAGGATCCTGAAAAATCCTCATTCCCTCCCCACTCCAGGGGAAGAATACTGCAAAATCCCCATTCCCTCCCCACTCTAGAAGGATACTGCAAAATCCCCATTCCCTCCCCACTCCAGGGGAAGGATCCTGCAAAATCCCCATTCCCTCCTCACTCCAGGGGAAGGATCCTGCAAAATCCCCATTCCCTCCCCACTCCAGGAGAAGGATACTGCAAAATCCCCATTCCCTACCCCCACTCCAGGAGAAGGATACTGCAAAATCCCCATTCCCTCCTCACTCCAGGGGAAGGCTATTGCAAAATCTCCCTTCCCACCCCACTCCTGGGGCCAGCCAGAGGTGGCATTTGCCAGTTCTCCAAATACTCAAAATTTCCGCTACCGGTTCTCCAGAACCTGTCAGGACCTGCTGGATTTCACCCCTGAAATAGCCCCTTCTTGTTACTGTATGTGGACTGGTTTCTTTCTTTTTGATTTGTTTCTTTATTTATTTTTAAAAATTGTGTTAGTCTTTCGTCGGTCTGGGACAGTTGGATTGGGTCATAGTGTTGCGAAAATATTCATAGCTCTGTTACAAACGTATGTTTATGTATTCTGCTCCGACGCAACTTGAAAAGCTGGTTTGCAAGTTCGCATGGATTTCCAAGCGGGGTCTTCCCCTCTGCATTCGGGTGCTCGGCGTTCGTTTTTCTGTCGCATCAAGTACACCAAAAACGCGGTCAAGGAAGAGAAGGAGCCCTCGTCCAACTCAAAAAAGAAAGGTATTGTTGAATTATTTAAAAAAGAAAACGGTTTTCTTTCAGAGAAACTGTTTACTGGTAATCCTGATGTACTTTGATGTGGTTGAAAGTTGCACTGTTGGTTGGAGACCCCTGCTTTACAGAACCTGTCTAAGCGGTTTACAGTGTCAGCCTCTTGCCCCCAAGCAATCTGGGTCCCCGTTTTACTGACCTCGGAAGGACAGAAGGCTGAATCAGCCTTGAGTCGGTCAGGATCGAACTGCTGACAATGAGCAGTGAGTTAGCCCGCAATACTGCATTCTAACCACTGTGCCACCACAGCTCGCTCCTTCCTTCCTTCCTTCCTTTCTTCCTTCCTTCCTTCCTTCCTTCCTTTCTGCCTGCCTGCCTGCCTGCCTTCCTGCCTGCCTGCCTGCCTGCTTTCCTTCCTTCCTTCCTTCCTGCCTTCCTTCCTGCCTGCCTGCCTGCCTGCCTGCCTGCCTGCCTTCCTTCCTGCCTGCCTGCCTGCCTGCCTGCCTGCCTGCCTTCCTTCCTTCCTTCCTTCCTTCCATCCATCCTTCCTGCCTTCCTGCCTGCTTTCCTTCCTTCCTTCCTTCCTTCCTTCCTTCCTTCCTTCCTTCCTTCCCTCCCTCCCTCCCTCCCTCCCTCCCTCCCTCCCTCCCAATACCACTTAGACTTATATACTACTTCACAGTTCTTTACAGGCCTCTCTAAGCATTTTACAGAGTCAGCATATGGCTGCCAACAATCTGGGTTCTCATTTTACCAACCTCGGAAGGACGGAAGACTGAATCAATCTTGAGCCGATCAGGATCAAACTGGTGGCTGTGGGCAGAGTCAGTCTGCAATACTGCATTCTAACCCCTGCACCACCAGGAAGCAGGATGAGAAAGGGAATAAGAGAGGAAGGGAAGGAAGGAAGGAAGGAAGGAAGGAAGGAAGGAAGGGAAGGGAAGGGAAGGGAAGGGAAGGGAAGGGAAGGGAAGGGTCATGGCTCATGTATGCTTATGTATGTATGCGCCCCGATGTTTTTGTAAAATTACAAAGACACTTCCTTGGATCAAATATATTGAATAACGCTTAAAAACTGAATCTTAATGATAAACGTTGTAGCCTCCTGCGTCGATTTCCTGCTCTTGCCCTCAGAAATTCTCAGGGGAAAAAAAATCAAAATCAAAATCATTTCTGTTTCGACTCTCCTAGATCATAAAAAGTACTGTACCATTCATTGCACCGGTTACCTGAAAAGCTGGTCCACGAATGAGGTGGGGATTGAAGAAGATACGGAGAAAGAGGGCAGTAATTTTAATTGCCTGGTGGCAATCGGCCGATTGCACCCTTACACCATTCCACAAAAAAGCTTTGAGATTAAAGTCAAGCCCACGGAATTTGTAACCCGCTTTGCCGTGGACGGGAAATTTGTATTCGTAGATCAACGGTAAGCATTTTTTGTTTTGTCTTACCTCCTTGTTAGAAGGCACTATAAAGTTTCAATATTTAGAATATGAATTCTATTTTCTATACTACCATTTTTCCCCGAAAATAAGACCTCCCCTGAAAATAAACCTTCCCCTGAAAATAAGCCCTCCCCCGAAAATAAGCCCTCCCCAAAAATATTTGCTCTGGTTAGGGTTAGGTAGACAGAGCTGGAAATCAGGTAAAATGGCTCCTTGCTCCATGCGCCTCCCCGAAAATAAGGCCAAGTGCTTATTTCAGGGTTCAAAAGAATATAAGACAGGGTCTTATTTTGGGGGAACACGGTACTTCTGGTAAACTATTGGCAAAATAAAGCGATTCTTTAGCAAGTCAATGCTGTATCCAGTGGTGGTATTAAGGCCGGTTCAGACCGGTTCAGGAGAACCGATTGTGGTGACCTCTCTGGTGCTATGCCATCCTGTTTAGCCACGTTTTCTAAGCTGTGCACTCACAGAATTCTGCATATATGTGTGGAAGGTGTGCTCTGACATTTTCGGTGTGCGGTGAACCAGTGGTAAAATTATTTGAAACCCCACTCTGGCTGTATCCAGTGTTGTTTTAAATTTTTTGTCAAGTGTAATGAAAAGTTTTATAAAGTTTACTGAAAACTGACAGGTTCTGGTTAATTAAAGTTATTCTCATAAGATTCTAAGGCTCTAAGAAGTTATAAACATTTCAAATGTGTGTGTGTGTTTGTGAGTTTGTGTGCAGGGGAGGGGATGACTTTCACCAGATCGGATCATATCTTAATGTGTTTTCTATTTTGTATATACTACAAAAAAGCTACTGAATTGTGGGAAAGTTCATTTTAGAAGTTTGTAGATTATATATATATATATATATATACTCTGTTTGCATTTCCCGACACAGAGCGACAGCAATTTTAGGATATTTACCTCAAGAACTGTTAGGAACGTCTTGTTATGAATATTTCCACCAGGATGATCACAATCATCTAACTGAAAAACACAAAACAGGTACAATATAATGGTTATTCCGGGAAGCCGATCCACCCACCAATGAGCTTTTTCCTTATTTTCCTCCCCAAAAACTAAGGTTTTTGGGGAAGAAAACGTCGAAAAATACAGTATGTTCCAAAATATGCCAAGTGAAGACAATCCAGATGGACAGGTTGACAAGGTCTCCACGACGGAGACGTTTGTGAGGAAACTTTGTGGATTTGTTGAGTGGAACATACAACCGGGCTGCAAATTTTAATGTAAATCCGTCAAATTATCAAGATTGCTAGGATATCATGACACGTTTTTAAGCCTTAGAAGGCTACCGTAGCAAAACAATGAACCTTTTAAAATTTCCTCTTCAATTGACTTGCAAATACCTTATAGCTGAATTTTGGATTTGATGGTCAGTTTCTTTCCAACTGTTATATTGAAATCAGTATGATTAATGGATTAACCAAGAGAATATATAAAACTCTTAAAAATCGTGAAATTGCCATGTTGATAAGACCCGTTTGGTTGACGCAGAAATTATTTTTGGTCTTAACTGAACAACTTCTTTCTGCAAAAATTTTATTTTTCCGCAGTGTTACAGAGCAAAGAAAAGATATTTACGAATTTCTACAAATTCAAAGCGAAAGATGGCTCTTTTGTCACTTTAAAAAGTCAGTGGTTTAGCTTCACCAATCCGTGGACCAAAGAACTGGAATATATTGTGTCCATCAATACCGTTGTTTTGTAAGTTTCTCAGTACTCTGTATAAAACAGCATGTTTTTATATAGCTCTGTTTTATATTTTAATTACATAGTATTAAGCATGGAAGAAAATGTGTTGTTATTTGTAAACAAAAAAAATAAAGATGGGATACAAATAAATAAATAAAATATTTGGAACTGACTGCTTCAACCATTCTTGGATGGTTTCATAAGCGAAAAGGGGCATTTAGCATTTATTTTCCTCTTATACGTTAAGGAATATAATTGTTGTTTTTGGAGGAAGCTACATTTTCTTCCTTTGTGCAGAAATAACGTGGTATTGAAGCCATCCATAAGAGATGTCCTAATACTGATTTATACATACATACATACATACATGTATATATATACACACACACATATATATTAGTATTATACACTAATATATATTAGTATTATACACACACAAACATATATATATATATATATATTTTCTCAGGTTTTCGCGGGTGTTTGTATGTAGGTCTTTGGTTATTCGGGTCTTCTCCCACGTAAAATTGGAAGTGTCTTGGCGACGTTTCGACGAAGTCTCATTCGTCATCTTCAGGCTGGTGTTCTCGGCTTCGTGCTTCCAGGAGCTCCAGGACCTGGCTAGAAGAAAAACACACACACACATATATATATACACGATAAACCATTTTATACCAAATTCATATTTTGCTGATAAAGAAATAAAGGGAGACTAGTATAGATCTATTTCAAGCTATTTGGCTCTCATCAGCTAGCCATACCCTTACTCGGTAAGTTCGAATCTGATTAAGGGTATGGCTAGCTGATGAGAGCTAAATAGCTTGAGATAGATCTATACTAGTCTCCCTTTATTTCTTTATCAGCTAAATATAAATTTGGTATAAAATGGTTTGTCGTGAATGCGACTGCTTGGGGGCTCCTGGATTGGAGCTGAAAGGCGAAAGGGAAGCAGTACGCTCCCTCCCACATATTGGGGTAGACCAGGTGCTTCGATAGAAAAACACTTAATCTCTCCCCTGGCTCAAGGTGATGAAGGGAAGAGAACTTGTGGCTCAGAGGTTAATACAACTGCCTAACATGCAGGCAGCCCAAGTTCGAATCCAAGTAAGGGTATGGCTAGCTGATGAGAGCTAAATAGCTTGAAATAGATCTATACTAGTCTCTCTTTATTTCTTTATCAGCAAAATATAAATTTATATATATACACATACACATATATATACATAAACACACACACACACAGAAATTGCTGAGCTGGGAGTATGTTCAGAGGTTTACACAGATGTTAGAAGAATAAATTTGTGAACCTCGTGCTTCTCTTCTCTTTGCTCGCCTCTAACACGAAGCAGCAAATTGCGCGTATAGCAGCAGACTTAAAACGGCTCGAGAAACTTATTGGTGTGTTTTTGGTTTTATATTTTTAGAGGTCACAATGAATCGGGGGAAGAAACACAACTAGCCTGCAGTTCTCTGTCTCCAGAAGGCAAGTCCATTTTTTAGGGTACTGGGTTTTTTTTTTCTCCCAGAGTTTATTTATTTATTATTTATTAATTCAATTTGTATGCCGCCCCTCTCCGAAGACTCAGGGTGGCTCACAATGCATTTAAAATCATTATAAAAAACATTTAAAAATTAAAAACATTAAAACTCCTTCACACCATTCATGGCCGGATCTCGCCGGATCGCAAGAGCACGATCAACGGCCTCAGGCCTGCCGGAAGAGCCAGGTCTTCACCGCTTTTCGGAAGGCTAATAGGGTGGGGATTGTTAGGGTGTGTGTAATAAGTATTTGTTGCTTGTGCAACGAGCAGAGCAGAAACACACAGGGAAGGAGATAAACGTGCGGCTCGTGTGAGAAAAATACTTTATATACAAGATAATAAGTAGTCTCGG